TTCTTCTCCGTGGTGACGACTATCTCTCTCTTGGTGATTTTCCATGAACACTTCAACACACACTTCAAGTTCAGCTTCTTTAGAGAGAGAGAGAGAGAGAAGCATTAGTCGATCTCGTTTTATTCTTCCACTTAAATTCATACTACAACGAGAGAGGATCAGTCAGATTCCATTTTGTGTTCTAGAATTGTCATCGTCTAGAAGAGATGATGATGATTAAAATTGATTGACATTGGTCTATGTGGCTGTGAAAACTGGCCTCTTCGCGCGGAAGATTTACGCAGACTCGAGGTAGTAGTAGACCATTGGTGCCTCAGGTACATTCTGCATGTTCGTTGGCAGGACAAACTCTCCAACGCAGAAGTGCGTCATCGTTGCTACAACATCAACCAAATTCCAGTACTGGTCGAACAACGTCGCCTTCAGTGGTTTGGCCATGTTCTGCGCCAACCAGATGTGACGATCTGGTCAAATCAGTTCTAAATCCCTCCTCGCCATTTCCATCTTGGCGATGACGCAGGGGGGGGGGTGGACAGCTGAAAACACATGGCTTGGTACAGTCAGTCAAGGCTGATATGGAGTGACTGGGCTGGGGCTACAAACCGTCTACGGACTCCGCCTGTGGAACAAGAATTGGATAACCCTGTCGTGGCGAAACCTTGCATCAGATCGCCGCGCCTGGGCAGCGATGATTCGAGATGTTCATGAAGCCGGCTCATCCTCCCGTAGGAGATAGCCGAAGTAAAGTAAAGCAAGAGAGGGTAAACAAATGATTCAGTGTTACGGAAAAGCATGGGGGTGGGAGAAGTGAGAGGGAGAGAGAGAGGAACACAAAGAAACGCACGCACAATATGAAGGATGTGTGAGTAGCACAGCACACAGAAGATCTGTGTTCAAATGGTGATTCAATGAAGATAAGTTGCACATAATTTGGCTATGTATATAGCAGTACCGAATTCCAAACAAACATTCCTGTTTGAACAAAGAAAGAAGAAGGAACATTGGCGCGCAGAATATGGTCTCTGGATCCATCTTATTTCGTCGTCGGTTCTCATCAGCACAACTGCGTACAACCTGAATTCTTTAATAAAATAACAAATAAAAAGTGTGTACAATTTTAACAAACTTTTGTCCATTAGCAAGCGCATATTATCAGAGCGTCATAGTGAAATAAGGTGTTGCGACTTAAAAGGTGTCTAAAGTGTTACGATATATATATATATCTTGTTAGAGAGAAGTTTCTTGAAATAAATAAATAAATTTTTGTGCTCGACAACATCTCCCAGCATGGCTAAGTAAAGTGAAAACCATCGTGAACAGTTCGATATTGGACCATCTGGTGCAAACCGACCACAAAACCAGCGTAGATGAATCCTACTCTATAATATACCTAATAATGCCTAATAAATTGCCGAAATCATCGAAAGACTGAATACTCCAAACAGCCCAGGCTATTGCGATTCGCCTCAAACAACCAGTGCTCTGTGTTCAAAACAAGCAAGTTCAGCTCCTACTATTGCCCTGGCCTTCAGTAGAAACTATAAACTTATGAATTTGTAATATTATCTCTGTCTGACATTCAGCTTATTTTATGTTGATGTGATTCAGCTATAATCTATCAATATTATTGACTCGATGTTATATAAACAGCATTAATGTTATAGGTTTCCAGACCGTAGGTGTTACGAATTTCCTGGAATAATTTGATAATAATTTTATGTAAAAATTTTTGACTATATATTTCGATGATTAATTATAATCCGAATAAATCTGCTGAAGAAGCTGTGGCTTACACGGCGAAACGTTCAGAAAACAGATCTTGTTTTGATTTTCTTAACACGCTGGGATTAATTTAAATAATTTACAATGAAGCATTAATGTTGTTGATAACATTAACTCATTCATTCACTATAGTGGATGGATATATAACTGTAGAGCCTGATGATGAATTTATCGAAAAGAGTACTCTTTGTTCAGTATCCATTCTTTTGACAGCGATTTTAATGGGCAGTTTTAATCAGTTAAAATAATTAACTAACAGTTGAGTTGTTGGGGTGGTAACAAAAGAAAATTAGTAATAGTTACGTAATTAGATAAGAGGAGACCAAAACTTCAGTGCATATGAGGTGAGGTCAGATCAGAGAGAAGTTGATGATGATGTAATCCAGTGAGCAGAACTCAGAAGATAAAGACAAAATTATCTCTTCAAAGAGCCAAGCGAAAAACTACGTAACTACTACTAATTTTCTTTTGTTACCACCCCAACAACACAACTGTTAATCAATATATGTCGTAACACTTTAGACACCTTGTAAATCGCAACGCCTTATTTCACTATGACGCTCTCACAATATGCGCTTGCTAATGGACAAAAGTTTTTTTAAATTGTACACACTTTTATTTGTTATTTTATTAAAGAATTCAGGTTGTACGCAGTTGTGCTGATGAGAACTGACGACGAAATAAAATGGATCCAGAGACCATATTCTGCTCGCCAATGTTTCTTCTTTCTTTGTTCAACCAAACGAACAAGTTTTTTAATGCCTGCATATCTCTGACACACACATCAGATACTAAATGTGTGTCACGATGATTGCTTGCAAAGATGAACTCCCAATTATCTAAGAGCTCCCCCAGGTGGGAAAAGCTTTTAAGATAACTCCAAAGACAAACTACCAGTGTGGTGAGAGCTGTCTGTTAGCTAGCCGAAAATTGGTAGACAGTAATTCACGTCAATGTTTATGTCCCAAATATTGGTCATGTGAGAACAAGAACAAAGATTAACTGACTGACTCAACAACCAATCACAGAACACGTTCTCCGCGTAGGCGGATACAATTAGCAGAAAGCAGATGATCTGACCTTCAAGAAACAGTCACAGAGAGAAACAACCAATCAGAAGACTGTGTTTATCTGCTAACAATAACCAATAATAATAATGTACATGAAAATCGATAAATATGTGTTGATTTCCTTAAGAAACGATCTGTTGACTGGCCATTGTCTTGTATTGTTACACCAGTATATATATATATATATATATATATATATATATATATATATATAACCACTTTAATGTATATGTATGTATGTATGTCTAAATATCGACCCGCCTAAGCAGCCAGCTGGTCTACAGCTACTTGTAGTCGTGTTTTTCTACAAAAACAACTGGGAGAACACTACCAATCAGGGACATATACAGATAGGCCATAATAGTTCCACAGGATGTGCTATATATAATTGACCATCATTCTCCAACCCTTGTCAAAACAGACCACTAATCTTCATTCTGAGAGTTAATCACATAGTGAAAAGTAACCTACGCAAGCAAACAAACAACCACCATATGACGCCTCTCGCTACTTGCTACTGAATAATTCAAAGATATGCATACAAAAGAGCCAATTCATTTGACAGGCGGTACTTAGTACTCAATCTGTACCAATCAGCTTTCAATCACCTCATTCTGTTACATTTTTTTTTCAAATTCATTCTTCTCTGCTTATAGCCTTGTGTTTGTATACGCTGCTACCAATCACTAGTTCATTGAAGGTGCAGAAGTCGGCGAAGAGTTCTCCATTTTCATTCACTTCTCCGAAAGCTTCTCTACCTATGATGAGTTCTCTCCCTATGTTGTCTGGTCCCAGTTTGACGTTCATGTCTCCCATTAGTATTTTAATGTCACCAGCAAGAGTGTTGTCCACTGTTCCCCGTAGTTGTCTGTAGAATTGTTCTTTCTTTCCGAGGTCTACGTTGTTTTTGGGTGCATAACATTGTATAACTGACACTTTCCTTTCTTTGGAGTTGAATCTGGCGGTCATTATCCTGGGCGAGATCGCCTCCTGATGAATCAGAACCCTTGTTCCCGTTGGTGACATCAAAATAGTCACGCCCTCGGTGTGTGTGTGTTTATCTTCTGGGTGACTGGAGTAGATCACTGACTAACCCGTTGACAATTTGGTGAGTCCATTCCCGTTCCATCTACTTTCATATATCCATAGTACTTGAATTCCGTATCTTTTCATTTCGTTTGCGATCTGGGCAGCTTTGCTAATCTCTGCATATAAAGGAACACCATATTTTCAAACTTAAGCAAACCGACTTAACCATCGATATATATTATCCACAACCAAACTAAGAAAATTGCCAATGACCGCTTCTTACATCGCCGAGATAGAATATCGTTAAAATGTGTCTATGACATGTTTTTCCTTGGTAAAAAGAAAAGTCCGTCACCACTCCTTTTCTCTTTTCCAACGAAATATACATAAACATATATCAAATAAAATCCACCTATAACCAGAACACAGTCACACAATCTGCACAAACATATTCAAATGTAGCGAAATTTGATAACGAAATTAGCACAGAATTTCACCGTGAACTACTACTACTACAAAGTGGCATACAACGCCTATGTATCTACCTACCTAAACTGCATGCACTACTACTCTGAGAAGATCTTTGACAGATGCGCAACTTAGTCAGTATCACCAGTATTTCTGCACTACAATAATCAACACTTAGATATTTCAGCGCAACGATCACAATGTCGGATTCTAAGCTTTCTAAGCTTATTCTTAAGCTTTAGCATTTTATTCAAATAAAGAGTACCGGGTCCCAGGCACAATCCCAACACCACACCATCACTCACTGGAGATTATTATTGCAGGTACATCCCGATGGCGATTTCCCCTAAACCGGACAAAATCCTAGTCACCACCACCATCCACCAAATTACATACTTACTTTTAAGTCTGGATAATCTTCACCTCTCTCTCTCTCTCTCTCTCTCTCTATATATATATATATATATATATATACTCACTACTCTGTAATTAACCTCATACATCCTTCATAACACATTCTCATTCGATAAAACAAAAATATTATCGATTATCAATCTGATTTCACCCTACTCACCACCCCGTTTGGCTACGTAAAGCTTTGTGATATGTGTAGAGCGGTGGAAAAAAAGGGAGAAATACACCAGAACTTACAGTCTTACTGGGTACTGTTTCCGCGTGTCGAGCATCATCACTGTGGCATACATCATCTCCGTCCACAGGTGTAGCAAAACGTTTTGGCGTAATCCAACTTGATCTGTAAGTTTTCGGCTTGCACTTGCGTTTCTCACTAATTATATTTGCCAGACTGACCTATATAAAAAGAGAGAAAAAGGAATCACAATGAAAGAAAGCACAAACACATACACATCTCACAACTGAATTCGCGCGGAAATAACGAAAATGATTAGAATATCATCTAAGTAAAGTAGTGCAGCAGTTGCGTACATGATGAAAATTTATACGAAACAGTTGCCTGACGTGTATCTCTTATACATATATGCAAAATCAAACTTGAATCTTATAGAACGAGAATCAAAAATATAGACGACTGTTTACCACAATACTTGTTACAAGTCATATCTATGAATCCTTTCAAAAATTGTTCAATGAACGAGAATCTCATTTTCATAATGTCACTAAAAGAAGACATATACAAAAATTCCTGAAACTCGAAGAAAAGAAACAACCAAAGAAAACTTCAACAAATGATATGAAGAATATTAGAGCCATACATAACATGTCAGACAAGACACTAACCGAAAACGAAATCTCATTACTTTCTGTAGAAAGGTCTGAATTTCAATATCACTAGAAAGCCATTATCGGTCCAGGAAATAGCACCTATGATTGAACCTGCTCTACAACAACTCACCAATGAAGAATAACAATCTACTCGGCAAAAGATAACACACACATACTAATGACACAACGAAACATACCATCTAATCTCATCAAACAAGAATATGAAGCCTTAAGTAATTTGAAGAAAGACAAAAGCATCGTCATAACAAAAGCCGACAAGGGGAACGTCACTGTGATAATGAACAAAACGGATTATGAAAAGAAGGCAATTGAACACCTATCTGAAGGACCATACTTACTCATTGAAGAGAAGAAGAAATCTGCCGAATTCAACAAAATGAAACTAAATACAAACAGACTACTTCAAGAAATGAAACCCAAAATTGGAAATTCTCTCTGGTTTACACTAAAACCGAAATCTTATATACCTTCAAGATTCTACGGTCAACCAAAGATACAAAAACCCACAGTTCCATTAAGACCGGTAATAGATTTCACCAACTCAACGACATATAACCTTTCTAAATACTTACTCTCGATACTACAACCACTACAAAAGGATACTCAAAATATTGTAGGAAATTCATATGATTTCAAATCCCAAATAGAACAACGAGAAATTGATAAAGAAGACATTATGATTAGCTATAATATTAACTCATTATATACTAGCATTCCTATTGCCGAAAGTCTTGATATCATTTCCAGTCTACTAGAATCAGATACAACACTATCACAAAGATGTCCACTGGACACCAGTGAAATAATTAAGAGCTTAAAATTCTGTCTAGAAAGTAATTATTTTACATTCAAAGGGAGTTTATATAGACAGACAAATGGTGTTGCTATGGGTTCACCAGTCTCCCCAATAGTCGCCGACCTTTACATGAATAAATTCGAAAATCATATCTTTTCAAGCATACTCACTCCTAAAATATGGTAAAGATATGTGGATGATACTTTTGTAGTACTAAAACGAGATCTACACAATTCATTCCTGGAGAAAATAAACTGTGTATCTCCCAAAATTCAGTTCCCTTCAGAAGTGGGCAGAATCAGACATCAATGTGTCACATGTCCCCCGAAGGAGATAAAAGCATCCGTCACATTAGAGTATGAAATCTGATGGAAAAAAAAGCAATTAGGCGATAGGAGAAAAGAAAAACAACTTCCACAAAATTTGCTCAACAATACGAGGGAAAAATGCATAACTCACGTCTGGGCTTGCACACTTCTTTAGCACAGAATTCGTATCACAAACATTAGAATCGTTATGCGGGGAAACCGGTGGGTCAACATGACTGCTGCTGCTGCTGGGTAGAAGTTTTCGAAATCTCAAGTTTTTCACCTCCACCTCATTAATAGACACTTGACGTCTTTGTAAGCTAGTGTGAAAATGTTTAATGATAATATATACACACATCAGAATGACAGATAATTCATGATTACATCATCGGCTAAAAATCATGCCAAAAATCTTTAATAAAAAAAACAAACGAGGCCAGCTCGTTGGCCAGGCTGTTTTTGATCATAGGTGTCTGCGTTCTATCTCCCAAGATAAGTGTCGTAACATTTACTTTATTTCCTAAAAGGAAAATCGGGCTTCAACCGCGCGTCTCCATTGAGTTCAATTCTCTCCTAGAGTTTTCACCTGGCTCCAAGTCTACCAGCATGCTTACATCTCCTCTTTACATGACCTCCTCCTCCACATCACCCTCACGCTGACAAACAACTCGCCGCTTCCCATTCGGCAGGGTTCCACTCGAGCAATGGCTTGTCTAGTGATGCCACTCACTTGATGCTTTGTTTTCTCAGAGTATGGCCAATACAATCCACCACCATTTCTTCCTGCTTATTTGTTGCACAATCGGTTCCTGATGTGTTACTGTGCTCATTGCCAGAGATCTCACCCTGATCTTTGCTGATCTTTTCTAGGTGGCCATCCGATCTTGAATGGTATTTAGCGAAGGCAGTTGTTGATGAAGGTCTGTAGTTTGTTTGAGCTGCTCTTCATGACGCGCCGTATCATAACACTGACTGACTTGACATTGAAGTTGAGAATCCACATCTTATTTTTATTTTCATGCTGAGTAGTGCTGTTGACCTCCTCTACACACACTTGAGAGTAATGAAGGCTCGTCTCGCCTTCCTCATCCTCGCTTCTTTGATATCCTCGTCAGTTCCGTCGGCCTGTAGGTGAAACGATGCTTCCTAGGTAGGTAGGTGAAGGAGGTTGTTTCTTTCAGGTTCCTCCTATTTGTGCCGGCTGATTGTTGTCTGTTGCTGTTGTCTTGGAATCTTCATCACCTCTGTTTTCTCAACGTTCACCTGAACATAGAGAACAAGATGAGCAATATTGAGGTTAGCCATTGATTATTAGATGAGAAGGGGAAATCAATCGACGACGTGGTGAAGTTACATCACAATTGATGTCATTAGACCATGTGTTGCGCGCATGCATCCCTAGCCATAACAGTTAGTTTAGACCAGACAACGACGTACGAAGGTTGGCGTCCCGGTTGGAGTCCTCGCGAAAGCTAAAACAAAAAACAATGAAGACTGGTGTGTGTAATTTTCTTTCTTTGTCTTCATACAATTTATACCTTTTTCAGTTATAAAATCGGTTATTTTAAGTTTGTTTCCATGTTCCTCTTGATCACAATTGTAATCCGTTTAGAATAACCATTTTATTATTATATTCTAATCCTGTGTAATTTTTTGTCCCTATGCCTCTTGTAATCTATATTCACTCACACACACACCTCCTAAATTACATTTCAAGTTGAAAAAAATTTTGATTTCAATTTGTTTCCATGCTCAATTTTGTTCACACCTGTAATTCGTTCTATCCCTACGTAACTTTTGTCTCTAAGCCTTTCCTCGTAATTAATATCAAGTTGAAAATAATGGTCACCTTTTATTCGATTTTTAAACTATTATTTCTCCAGTTACCAATAATATTAATTTTACATACGTTGTAAGTGTATTTTTTTAATCCTACGCAATCTTATCTTTAAGACCCTCATGTAATCTATATTCCTACCTTCAAAGTTTTATACCAATTTGAAAAAATAATTATCTCCCTCGCTACTATGTGGAATTAATTAAACAAATAATAATAATAATTCAAATGTTGGTTTGTAGGGATTTGATTGGTTTCAGGATTTCATCATGGGCTGACATTAGTTAAGAAACCCTTGGAAAACCTGGGAGTACTGGACGGCTGTTTCGTCCTAGTTTAGGACTCTTCAGCAGTACACACCCACCGCCATCGTTCGAACCCAGGACCTTCCGGTTACAAGGCGAGCTCGTATACCATTAAGCCACTGGGACCCTATCCAATGGTCCTTGAATTCTAACTTCTGCCAATTCACGACATAGTGCGACTGCTAGCCAATGTCTTCGGCGGGTATTTGTCCTCAAACCCGACCAACTGCACCCTACTGGTCACGACTTTCCACTGGAACCCAGGTAACTACCTACCTGAATAGGGCCAGTCACCAGTAATAAGAATAATTGTATCCATGTAAACGAATCTATATGAATTCGATTGTGCAGCTGATTTTGAGAATGAAATCGCCAAAAAAAATCGATATCTTCACTGAACTTCTTGTTCTTTTCAATCATCTAATTTCCCGATGGGTATTTTTTCCACGATTTCAAATAACGGTAACATGTGCGTCGGTGGCACAGTGGTTAGGACTCTCACCGACCATGCACATGATCCGGGGTTCGAGCCCACGCCAACGCACACCTGATATCTATGGTCTGCCTGCGAAATTTGGGCTACCGATATCCACGCTGAGAATTCCATACTTGTACCAAAAATACAGTGTGGAATCAAGCTGTAATCAAAAATAAAATAAATAAATAAAAGATGATTTATCTATCAATTTGGGAAAGCAAACAAAAATAACCTTACCGATAAACTTTATTTGTAGTTCGACACAAAATCTCATAAGGACGGGCGGAATCATCCAGATGAGCCTGGATAACACAATTACTCCAATACTCATAATCATCCCTTATTTGAGCACTGACCTAGTATACGAAGTGAAAAAGAACAAATAAAGAAAAAAAGATTTAAAAAAGTTGTCATGTGAAAATAACCACCTCTTCGTAAAAATAAAAAAAACAAATACAAACAGCAAAGACAGATCAAACATATGAAAGTCAGTATGGCAACTTGGAGGCTTGTAAAACAAAACAAAAAACACGACTCCCTCAAAATTTCTCAACAATAATCTGCAACTGTAAAATTTAACAAAAAAGGCAACGAAGCTTGCGAAATTCCTACCTACGACGTGGCACGTATCCATACACAAGCATATTTAGAGCTAGGTGAAATGGCACAGTCAGTCAGCTGTATGTTGTGGCGCGGGGGGCGGGCGAAGTATGAGTCATGAATGAATACAAATTATCCAAAGAATAAAATGTGAACACTACACAGTGACGCTTTTCTCTTCATGTAGACGACGAAATGGAGGGAACACTGCGCTCTGCACTGGTAAACATTGTATGCCTCAGAGTTCAGTTCATTGCAACTTATATTCATATTCATCCTCCCATTTAATTATGTCGTGGGGTTGGTGGTGCATAACGAGTATCATAATCCTCTTATGCATATAACCAGACAGTGCTCACGTGAAGATCACACACATGTGTGTTTGTGAAATGGAAACCGCAACCTCAGCGGACAGCAATCAAAAGCCCAACCCCTCCCCCCGCCTGACTAATGCAACCTGTTGGTAAGCAGACGAATAGTATCAGTAATACAGCCTGTCAAGCAGCCACTTACACCGATTAACAACTGAAAAACCTGTCTGAAACGCTGATCAAACCACACTATCATCGAAGTAGTTAGGCTGATGATCTAAAGGGATATTGATGATATTTATTCTCAATCTAAGTCCTCTATATATAAAGTTGTCATAGACTCAACTAAGAAAGCGGAGGTCCAACAAAGAGATTCCGAACACTCAAGAGCAGCCATTAACCACCAAACCGCCAAGACAACTCATCACACGCTTCGCTTGCTGTATGGGAACAGCAAATATTGTGGTAGAGTACATAGATACTATGAAAGAGTATTCTAAGCACATAGCACAGACATCTAGGTACATTCGGCATGTGATTCGTCCCTGAGAAATGTAAGATAACGAACACTGCAGGAGTGATCTTCACTAATCCGGGGGCTAACGATATTTTATCACACAAATCCCCGTTCAGTGAGTCGTGTTGAGTGGAGCAATATACAACTAGCAATTATGTGAGTTTCGCAATGAAAATATCGGCTAGAATGGGTGGGTCATAGTGGTGACCCCATTGTCACACAGTCGATTTGTCTACATAGTTTCTTATAAAAGGAAAAAAGTGGACATTCATCGTGCATTCCAAGAGAAGCTCTTTCATCAGAAAAGATATAGGAATGCCAACATCGATGTTTCGTCTTTTGAGTTCTTCGCATACAAAGAGTCCACTGTTTCCCATAAGTGGTACACATTGGTGAATAAGGAAGGATACGTCAACAAACGGCATCATGAATTTATGGTCAAAACATTTAAATCTTTTATCCTTTCAACAAATCCAAAAGTATCCTTTACAACACTATGTTTCACCAACTCGGTATGAAGAGGCTGTAAGAGTTCGACTAATCATTTGGCTACGCGATGATGCTATGGTGAATTTAACATACCTGATACTGGTCGTCGAAGCGGTACACCTTTTTTGTGCACTTTAGGCGCGAGCCATATAGTCTTGATGTGAACGTTCCAGTGGGTTTAAATGATGCGTAGTGACTCTGTGAGATGAAGCCCTGTTGATGTTGTTGCTTCAGTCTTCTCAGTGTATCCGCGAACTGTGTCTCCATCTTTTCAATCGGATCCAGAGAAAAGATTTTTTTGGAATTTTAGATTACCATTAAAAGAATAGTATTATTCTTCTCAAAGTAATCAGCTTTGTTCATGATGAGCAGTCCTGAGCCATTATTCAGTCTTCCTGTTCGTCCTGTTTTAGATAAGTATAACTCTCCATTTCATGAAACAGCGAAATGGTTAGTTGATAGTGGTCATGTAATGGAGAGAACGAGAGCTTTCAAAGTAATTCATCGTATCACAACGAATCTTCCCAATAGACTTCGTATTCGTCTACTGCACACACACACATACACACAGCTGACGCAGGCGATAGCCAGTCGAACTATTCAACCTAAATTACGCCTTCATTCAAAAGAAGTTCGTATAGCCATTATCCCTCCCTTCTTTGTTGGCCTATTAAGACATAGCCAACTGAGGACTTCTACACCCCACATACCCCGACAACTTATATTTTCAACCCCTCCCTCTCTTATCATCCCTTAATCTTATCACATCTTCATTAGAAAAAGCGTTTCATTTACTTCTCTTACAAACAGTGTAGCATTATTTAATCAGTTCATTTGTTTTTATTAGCCTTTATCGACTACTATGTGTCTACCTGAACATTTGTTTGTTTAATCATACTGTTTTTCATCAGTATTCGTGTTATCACAGATTGCCTCACTTTTTCATCCTTATTATTGATAGTACCATTATTATTATTATTACTAATATTATTATTATCATTAATACTATTATGAGTAATTGCACAACTTACATTCACCATTTTATTATCATCCTATAGACAAAACACCATGATGACTGGTTGATATTTGAATATTTGTTTTGTAAAGTCATGTCGGTGTATATTAGAGTTAGGTCTAATGATGAGATTTAATTGAAAGCCTCCAAAGCCTCAGGATGGTCGGGGGTGGGTGCCTTGCGCTACTGCGGGTTGGCCACCCCTCCCACCGTACACCTCTTGAAATGCTCCCATATGACCGGGCGTCTTACATAGCCTCTCCTGAGGAAGTCCTCAGTCCTCACTGCCTTCACGTGGCGGAGGTGTTTTTTATTCACCGAAGTGAGAGGGCAAAAGCGGATGACCGGCGATCTTCACCGGGTTGACTGTCCATTGGATGACAGACAGTCTAGGTAGGATGGCTCAACCCTGCCTGATTCCAAACCTCCAACGACTGGCGTATGAAGCTCACCGGTAGGCAGATGTATGAACAAAGGGCTTATTGGATGCCCTGGTGTATGTCTGGCCCCATTCAAAAAGGCATATGAACCGGACTCCTGTCACCGGCTGGCTTCCAATGGATAGTGGACTCCCTACTCCACTCCTACTGCCTTGTAGGAGGTCACACTTGGTTGTGTAAAGGCTAGAGCTGCACTCTCAAACAAAAGGCCGAGTGATTCTGGGGACATCACTCGTACCCAATTCCCATGAAACTTCATCAACTCTCTTACAAACATTCGAGATGTTCATGAAGCCGGTTCATCCTCCCGTAGGAGATAGCCGAAGTAAAGAAAGAAGAAGAATTTAATTGAAAACAACAATATTGTTGGCTTAAGCAGGTGTTGTTGTTCTAAATCCTACAATAAGTTAAATTGCAAAGTTAGAGTCTCGCAGAGAGAGTTATGAATACTGGCAAAAAAAAGGAAATACGAAAAGTCACTTGGTGTATCTAATATATGCACGACGTATTAATGAAAACAACAGAATTTAAAACACAAAATGTTTTGACGCCCGCCGCCTCTTACTTCAGCACCAACAGGTAGTAAATAAACCTGAACAATGTCGGATTCTTTGACGCTGGCTTTTGTTTGATCTTCGAAATGAACAAGAAATCTGTAATAAGAAGGAATGAGCAAAATCAAAAAAAATAAAGAAAAATAGAAGAGAGAAAATTAACGTTTTCTTTTTCAGAGAGGGAAAGTAATCCTGGATAGCTAGATATTACACCGTCTCCACAATAGGATTGTATAGCTTTAAAAAGGGTGAGAGCCATTCATTATAGGTTTAGTAGCATGGTTACGATAAGGTGGAAATGGAGCAATTAAGTAAGAAGCGCGATCATTGAACATCTCGTCGATCATGATCACCCTATCTGCTCCTGCTCTATAGCCTCCGTCTTTAAAGTCATCTACAAGGTAAAAAGTAATTTACCCAAAATCCCTACGTACCCGACTCATCTGTTGTATTGCTGAAGCCGTTTTTGGCTATCGAAACAGAAAAGCCAGATCTCTGTGTGTACAGAAGAATGTTCGTTCGTTCAATCCGACCCACCCTCACCCCCAACTTTCATGTTCTTAATCCCTCCTCTATGCTAAAGTGTATGGTAATCCCTAATCGTATTTTAGCTCTACCAATTTTCCATTTTGTCTATTCAATTTGTATTCTCTTCCTTTATTACAATGTCAGTTGTTACTACTATTACTATTCTCACTTTGAACTGTCCCCGGTATTATTTCACTTGTCCCACTTGTCATTTTTAATCAATTCTTCTTTCTTACAATGTTAAGTGCTATGCTATCAAATTTCACAGAATATTATGTAACGTTCTTATTTTATACGATTTGTCTAATAATCCTATAATTGCACACCCTTTCTCAAGTTCTATCTATCCTATGAATTATTCTATATATGACTACTTGTTTCGCCTCCCGTTGACATTTACCTACAATTATAATCAAAAACATTTTAGGATTTCATCATGAGCTGACATTAGTTAGAGAACCATTGGAAAACCTGGGAGTACTGGACCAACACTTGAAAAACATTTTAGTTTAAATTGCATTTCATACTATTATTATTATTTTATGCATTCACACCTATGATTAAATTCCCTCACTGAATATAACTTCTTAAAGAATATATATATATATATATATACGATTGTAAATCATTATTATTATTGCTCCCTTGGGTTCCTAGTGGAACATAGAACTTCAATTGTACGTCTCCACTTGCTTCTGTCTTCTGCTGCACTTTTCACCTGCATCCATGTTAGTCCATATTCTTTCAACTCCTCTTCACACGATCTCCTCCTGCGTGTCACCCTTGCACTAACGTCCCACTCGCCACTTGCATTCGGGTTCCACTCGAGGGCCTGACGCACGATGTCACCCAGCGGCCTCCTCAGCGAGTGTTCAATCCATCACCATCCACCTACTCCTGTATATTTGTTGGTTGGCGATTGGTCTTTGCTTTGTTTCGTCACATAGTTTCTTGACTTTTGGTGATTCTTCCCGGCCCGGACATCTGATCTTCAGCATAAAGCGAAAACAGTTAGTAGTTGATAAAGGTCTGCAATAGGCTGTTGGTGGAAATATTCTTTGTGACCCGCCCGCCAAGTTTCTGATTTTCCCGATTTTCGATTTGACATCCTCGTCCGTTCTAACTGCCTGTAGTTGGGACAATGCTCCCTGGATAAGTGAATGCAGTAACCTCTTTCAAATCCCTCCCGTTGATGTTGATTGGCACTGAATGTTTCTGTTGTTGTTGGTGGTGATGGTTGGTTGGTTATTTTCATAATCTCCGTCTAGTATATGTTCACCTGGAGTCCTGTCTTCACCGGCTGCTTCTTCGATCAGTTTGTCGGTTTCCGCTTGTAAGTCTTCGATTGTGTGTGACATCAAACATAAATCATCCACACGCGAAATCCAGGTCTTCTAGGTTCTTCACGTCGGTCAGTCCAGGATATCCCTGTCTTCTCGTTTCCCACTGTCTGATGCACAATCCAGTCAGTCCACCACAATGAGGAATATCATTCATTGGTGATAATAAGCAAGCACCCTTGTCTGACTCCTGTGTTTACTCCAAACACCTCGCTGAGTTTTCCGTTGTGGATCACTTGACATGTGCCGTTGTGGTACAACTGTTGAATAAAGTTGAGAAATATTTGGGCTACGCATACGATTGTACAGCTTCATGATAAATTCGCCGAGGAAAAGAGTCTCTTCGCTGACTGAATCACTTGTTTTGATTTTCTATATGATGTTACAATGGGAATTTTCCATGGGATGTTTAGTTTTAACCTAAGGGAAATAGACATTAATGGAAATTTCATCAATTGGTGCCATATTAATTTCAAAAACGCTTACCGCAAGCTATTTTTACTGGAGTACGCTTTCCCAGCATAATAATTTCCTTCAAATTTCCATTTTGCATACACCCATTGTTCATCTACATTCGAAAAACAAACAACAGCAACAACAACAACAAAAGAAGGAGAAAAACAGAGCAAAAAAAACCAGAATATATTCAAGTGTTGGTTTGCAGGGAATCTTGATCGGTTGGTTACAGGATTTCATCATGAGCTGACCATTAGTTGGTTAGAGAACCATTGGAAAAGCAACCAGTGAACGTGTCATCTACATACCTCCACCACCACAGCACAACATCCAGTTACACACAACCATACAATAGACTGGATGGGATAGGATGACAGTTTTAAAATCTAATACAACTAACAGGGTGGCGAGTGGGGAAGATTGATAAGAACGGAAGCTTTGTTCATCGAATCAACTTCAAATACGTGACTGTGATAGGAATGAATCAATACCTGTCCAACGAGATATCTGGAAAATTCTACTACCCCAAAGACGACGACAAATATGAGAGGGCAAAGAAAACTAAAAAGCTCAAGTTCCAAAGTCGTGTGATTGTAATTGATGATGTGTATGATTACGAACAGCAATAATGAATTGTGTTCTCGAAACTTAGTCATCCAGTAAATACAAAAACTGTTTGACTCTGTGTATGATATTTCTAATAAACAAACTAATATGGAATTACTTACCGCCACCACCACAGTGCCCAAGTTTTACACATATTAATTAATATGGAATGATACGCTGAGCATTTTGACAATCTACACTTATCCACATGACAGCCCACCCAGCCCATGTTAAAAATTTTGATCAACTGTGCTTGATGATTCTCGTACCTCAAAAGTGATTCATGCATATAGCTCTAGTGTTTTTGAGGCAATAATCAACAATCAGCAATCAGTTTTACACATGTGATAAGCTTATTAAAAAAAATAAACCCTGACTAGCCAAAAGTTTGGCAGTTATAATCGTATACCTGAGGTCGTTTTGTTTGGTGTCAGTGTTTCATCCCGAGGGTCGGATACTACTGTTGTTGTTGTCATTGCTTCCTTCTTGTCATTATTCCCTGGTGAATTCGTCTCTGAATCCGTTATCACATAAGTCACTTCGTCGTTTACTTCACTGTTGAGAAAACGAAAATTACAAAAAAACACATTATCAACATTTCATATAAACTGTACTATGGAGGATTTTTTATCATGAGCTGATATCAGTTAGAGAACCACTGGAAAATCAGCCACGGGGAGTACTGGACAGTCAGCTGTTTCGTCAGTACGCACCCACCCCACTGACAAAGTTCGAACCCAGGACCGTCTGGTTACAAGGCCAACGAGCGAACTCGTAGACCATTGAGCCATCGGGACCCGATGCAATGGTTCTTGAATTCTAACTTCTGCCAATTCACACACGACATACCGCGACCATTTCACAATGTCTTCTTCTTCGATGAGTGAGTCACTGCCTCATCTTCAACCTGCCGTACTGGTCATACTGGTCACAGCTTCCCACTAGAACCCCAGGTCAGTCACTATCTACCTGAATAAGGCCAGTCACTAGGGAGCATCAGAATAATTAATTTTCAAGTATTGGTTTTGTAAGGATTTTGTGTTTGATTGCATGGAGAATTTCCTTCATGAGCTGACATCAGTGTCGATAGAGAAAGGAAGACGAAGTTTGCAGTATGAAATGATACAGCGAGGAGAATATACTCTATAGAGAAATTAGAGGAAGAATTTGTATTTCTTGAAAAGATATTGAAGAGCAATGGGTACCCCTCAAAGGTTGGTTCATCAACAAGTATAGAAGATCTGAAGTCACTAATGTGTAAAAACCAAATCGCAGTGAGTAAAAAGCCAATCTACAATCAGCTTGATTATAAAGATGAACAAATTGCAGCGATGATCAACAGAAGACTGAGTACTAGCCAGTCTATAGCTACAGCCTATCCTGCAGCTAAGCTCGTCCCAGTCTACGATTAACTTGCTCTCCTCTGGTGTAATCAAACATCGATAGATATCCTTCTCATGTTAACAACTCCAATTGTACATACAAATTTACATGAATCTGTGGGAGCAGTTATATTGGAAGGACAGAAAGAAGAAGAGCATATCTACGATTTTCTGAACATGTACCAAAAAGCATATGTCTACAGCTGGGAACAAATGCTTTAAACAGTGCCATCGCCAGGTGTCTCCCTGACACGGGTCAGTCATGAGGTTAACGTAGCAAAATCGTTCAAAATTATCAACAGGCAAAAAAGTTCAATTCTCCTCATGTTTACTGAAGCTATTTCCATCAAGTGCCTGAAATCTGATTTATGCGTTCAGAAAGAAGTCGTTATCAGTCTTTCTTTGACCTGGTAACTGGAAATTTTCATCTTTCCTTCATATATATATGTAAATATTATTACTGTATACATATATTGGTCGATTGATTGAGTTTTGTTCAGAAATGAACTCTGGATGGATAAGTATGTTAAAATTCTTTTTGTAGATGTATTTACTAATGCCTTTGGCCTGTAAGCAGCTGACGAGAAGGCAACGAAATAAACAATAATGATATCAGTTTATTCTGCATAAACCCATTGTGGCTCTTGCTTAGTTCAAATTTTAAAATGATATCGTCATTCTATTTCACAGGTTCTCATCAGTTGCACAGCCCTACCTGAAATTACAACGGTTATATAGATGATAATAACATACTTTAATGCTTGAGTGGTAGTAGAGAAGTCTGTCTGTCTTCGACATAGAACTTTGCACAAATGTGCGCCAGTTCAAGTCGCCACACTCCGTGTAGCACGCGAAGCAAGAGAAGAAAGTACAAGAAAAGCATAATAGAAACAGTGAGCAGAGGTGTGAGACAAAGGAGTAATAAAGAAAAACAAAACAGTTTCATTGGAGATCATAAGTCACAAGGAGTGGATGCATCTGCGCTGGCGTTGACGTTAGGCGTAGAGTGTTGGGCAAACAGGGAAAATCAATCGACGAGGCTATAAAGTTACATAGACTAAGATGGCTAGGTCACGTGCTGCGCATGCCTAACCACCGCCTCCCCCGACGGGCATTGCTAGCTGATATAGGTGAAGGTTGGAAAAGAGCCAGTGGTGGCCAAACAAAAACATGGCCTCATCAATCCATGAAATCCTTGACAGTTAAACTGAGTCGGTCAGGTAGGCAGATGCAGACTTCCGGGTTGGGGCCCTCGGGACTCTAGGAATCAATGGCTGGAGACAATAGGTGACATGGCTCAAAATCGTTGTCAATGGCCAGCGCAGATGTATTCAGTCTGTAATCTTTCATATTCCTCCTTTCTACCATTACCCATTCTGTTTCACTCTTATACTTGTCAGACTGTATTGATTCTCTTCACTCATCTTCTTGTCTACTTTTGTGTGCTATTTGGAACGTGGCAACTCGAACTGCTGCACTTCGGTGCCAGGTTCTATGTTGAATCCAGACAGACCAGACAGACAGCGCTGGCCACTGAGAACGATGAGTTTGAGCCATGTCACCAATTATTTCCAACCATTTGTCTTTACCGTCCCGAGGACCCCAACCAGGAAGCCAGTCTACACCTTCCTACATGGCTTAGACTAACTGTTGTGGATTTCATTGACTGGTGACAAGTTTTTGTCTGACCGCCGCTAGCTTTTTTCCAGCCTGTCCCTATATCCGCTAACATTGCTCGTCGAGGAAGGCGATGACTAGGCAGTCATGCGTAACACATGCCCTAACCATCTCAGTCTTTGTAACTTCACAACTTCGTCGATTGATTTCCCCTGTTTACCTAGAACTCGACCAACGCCTAACCTCAATATTGCTCACTTTATTATGCCACTTAACACACACGGGAAATAGAGCGCAGGCACCTATCATCAAAGACAACTAGCTAATCTTTTCATGTCTTCCACTCTCAGAGACCAGGTCTCACAGCTAGTCATAAAGGAGGACGGAGTGGACTGATGAGCAGTTCATCCGCCCTTTGGTCGATAGCCAGCCGGATATCTCGTCTACACAAGAGACGGCGTAAACTGGCTAATGCAAAACGAGCCCACTGCATCCGTACGCAGCTGATATTTCGTCAGAGATCAACCCGTTGGCACTCGCTGATGGTACTTCCCAAATAAGTGAAGCGGTCAACGTGCTCTACCACATCACTTCCTATTTTTAAACTAGGCGTCGCTGTATTCCAGTCCTGCAACATCATCTTGCATTTGGCAGGAGCGAATCGCATGCCAAACATTCGTCTACTATTACACTCAGTTTTATGTGACAATGAGAAATTTCTTAATAAACCTCAATCCTTACGAAGCGAAAGCAGCAGCTAGAGAGGGCACCTACAAACCGACCTACCATGTTTGTTTCTTTTCTTTGAAGTACTTCAGTCCAGCCATGTACACAAATAAGACTCAATGAAGGTTAGCGCTGGCTAGCTAACTGACACACGATTGATTCACCAGCTGACATCAGGAGTCCACAAAAAGAAAGAACTACTGAGAATCTAAGGGCGGTTAGTGAAAAACCAACCTCGCAACCAAGTCATCACAAACCACTGCTCACTCACACTTATTCCCAGCTTCCTCTGAAACCTCCTCATACTCCTTCTGCAAACTTGATTTCAGATAAGTTGCCTCAGTCGAGTCAAGTGTGAAGAAGATATATATATATATACAATGATATACAACGCAAATGAGCAGAAGTTAGGTGAGTGAGTAAGTCACTAAACTAAATTCGGACTCAGGTTCACGAGAAGTGACTATCTTCAGCTAGACCTTTCACACAATCACAGTCAACCAATCATTGAAGAAAACATCGAAAGTACACTGCATAAGCCAGCCGTATTACAGCAAAAATAAACCTCGACTTCCAATAATTGTGTAGTCAGTCAGTGTTGAATCATCAGGAAAAATATACTAAATTTTAGCTCACATCATGAATGCTTTAGTATTTCTCAAACTAAACTCTTCAGCAGCAAACTCATTAAAATCACAAGCCTGTTATGCCTTCAAATATCACCATCTGCGGAAAACATGACAACGTCACATACCGATAAGCATAGAATATTCCAGAAAATCTTTCTTTTAATACACGTATACACTACAAACTACTCTTAATTTCTTTAGTCTGGTTTGTAAGGGTTAGTTTTGTTTGTACGAGTTGATCGCGGATTGATATATCAATGAGTTAGAGAACCATTGAAAACCAGCCATAGAGAGTACGGGACAGCTGTTTCATTAGACTAGTTTGGGAATCCATCGGCAGCACGCACCCATCACAGACAGTTCGAACCCCAGGACCTTCCGGGTACACGGCAAGCTGGTTGGCTCGTATACCATTCAGCCACTGTGACTCGATTCAATGGTCAGCCAGTGCATGAATTCTAACTTCTACCCTAGTGGGTGCATACTGCCAATAATTCGCAAACTAGGCTGATAAAAAACACCTGTCTGTCCAGTACTCCCTGTGGCTGGTTTTCAGTGCTGCTCTAACTGATACCAATTCATGATCAACTCGTAAAAAACAAAACATAACTAACCCTTACAAACCAAACTATAGAAAAGTAATCTGATGCTCGCCAGTGACTTACTACAGGATGAAGTTTCATAGAGTCAGTTCTAGCGAGAAGTCGTGATCAGTGGTGTCCACCCAGATGTCATGTGTGACGATGGATGTCCCACAGACGACATTGTTTGGTGCCAGTTGTGTTAAATGCATCACGAATTGGTAGAAGTTAGAATCCATGCACTGGCTGGCTGACCATTGAATCGGGTCGATTCCCAGTGACTGAATGGTATACGAGGCGCAGCTAGCTTTCCTTGTAACCGGAAGGTGGGCCCGAACCCGTTATGGTGGGTGAGTAGTGCTGATGATTCCTAAACTAGGCTGATGAAACACCTGCCTGTCCAGTACTCCCTGTGGCTGGTTTTCAATGCTTCTCTAACTCATTCATGATATCAATCCATGATCAACTCTTAATTTCATTTGTATATTCTTACCTTCTCTCCGCAACAGCTAACTCGTTGCCTGTATCTTCAGAGACAGTTTCGCTCACCAAAGTCACTGACTCGCGACGCGGATCATCTGCAATGATAAATAATAAATAAAGGTAATATCAGAGGTAAAAAATTATCTTATAATCTAACTGACATAATGACTCTGATATTGCGGAAAAGGCGTACAATGCTTAGAGTCTTATTGTTAGTCTTTCCCCCTTTAACTTCATGGATGGGAATTGTCCACCTTCACATTTCAATCTGACATCATCATCACTCGACACAAATGATGCATACACCTCTAAACAAACACACACGATTTTCAGCAGTGTGTCTTCATCAGCCTAAAAAAACTTCCTAAGTACACTGCTAAAAACATCTCTGTCAACAAGTCGTCCATTTTTGTCAAGCCTACTGGTGTTGATCAAATCGCCACACTACGGATCATCATTGTGGCAGAGCTTGGAATGCCAGTCACCTTTCTATCTGAACTGCATTGACTTTGAAAAAGCCTTTGATAGCGTCGATCGAGAGGTGATTTGGCAACCACTTCGCTACAACCATGAGGTCCTGATGACAATTCTACATGTCATCCAACAGTCGTACGACAATGCTGCATGCCAAGTAATCCACAACGGGAAACCTACGGAATCCTTCAAAGTGAGGATGGGAGTAAAACAAGGCTGTCTACTATCGCCAATGATTTTCCTGATTGCAGTAGATTGGACAGTGCGACAGATAGACAGCGAGCAGGGCAGTGAGGGAACAGACATAAAATGGACTCACACACAAAACTTGGAAGATCTGGACTTCGCCAATGATATATATCTGATTTCCCACAAAAACTGCAAGATATGCAATTGAAAAGCAAAAAGTTGGCGCAAGAAGCATCAAAGATAGGACTCCAAGTAAACATAGAATTAACAGAGGTAATTGATCAAGATTCCTGGCCAACACCAACAACCACAACAACAACGGACAACAATCAGCCAGTATAAATGGGAGGAACCTGAAAGAAACAACCTCCTTTAGCTACCAACATGGGAAGCGTCATTTCAACTACAGGCCGACGGAACTGCCGAGGATATCAAAGCAGCGAGGATCGGAAAGGCAAGACAAGCTTTCATCGCTCTCAAGTGTGTGTGGAGGAGGTCAACAGCACTAATCAGCATGAAAATGAAAATAACATCCAGATTTTCAACTCCAATGTGAAGTCAATCAGTGCTACTCACTATGCATATCAGAGACTTGGCTAGCGCGTCACGAAGGGCACTTCGAACAAACTACAGACTTTCATCAATAACTTTCTTCGCTCAATACCCCTCAAGATCAGATGCTCGCCTCGAAAAGATCAGCAAAGATCAGGGTGAGATCTCTGGCAATGAGCACAGTAACACATCAGGAACCGATTGTGCAACAAATATATCCAGGAAGAAATGGAGGTGGATTGGCTGGCCGTCCCCTGAGGCAACAAACCACCAAATGAGTGACATCACTAAACAAGCCATTGCTCGAGTGAAACCCGAATTAGGAAGCGGCGAGTTGGTCGTCAGTGCGAGGGTGAACTGGAGGAGGTGATGTGAAAAGGAGATGAAAGCATGTGGGCAGACAAAGAGCCAGGTGAGAACGTTGGCAGAGAACCAAACGCAATGGAGACGTGCAGTTGAATCCCTATGGTCCTCTAGGAATTAAAGGCAATAATAATAATATTAGTGCTACAAAACCTTTATAGGAGTGAGGACAACGTCTGGACACTTTCATTACAGCCTGAAATCTAAATCCACTTGTGTGTGTGTGTCTTCACTGGTCCACCATAAAGTTTATACATGCTTACATGAGCTAACATTTTACGCATCATATTATTCAACCTCACTCCACTACTTATAATCATAGCAAAATCCATTCCATTCCTTTATAAGGTGGCGCCGTGCTCCACTCCATAATCAACACCAATCTCATGAAAGCATTCCCAATTCTCATGAACTACTGCTTCCTGGAATTACATTACCCGATAAAATTTCATCACCATCCACCCATAAAAAAAATTTGGAATCCTACCACTTAGCGTCCACCGACTCATCAACTTCATCCTACAAGAACCCATGATGTCTCACTTCTTCGAAAGCAACAGTCTATGACATATTCAGGATTTTTTCGAAGAACCGACATCAAATGTTACGGAAAAAGGAGACTTCGCGTAACGAACTTTTTTGTTGAGGGAAATCACACCACATATGTTTGAGAATGTTCAGCAACATTCTGACGCTTCAAACTGAGATTATTTCCTCACCACAATGTAAGCGAGATCGGGATTTAAGATATAAAAACGCTTCTAATTTTTCAAATCACAGAATATACACATTTGATCATAGGGAATAATAAAAAGACAGTTGCAGCGAGGAAGAAAAGCTTTTCTTTTCGACGAAATCATCAACTAGACAGCTGTACATTCGTGTATTTATAATAAACGGGTAGGAGGAAATTTCCAGAATAATTTCTGGTCAAGGGTCAGATTAACAGAATTACAATTACCCTGATGGAAAACGGTTTTCCGCCTAGGTTCATAAACGAGAACCTCATATCAAAGAAGACTTCCGAACAAGCAAAAGCAGTCCCGAGGAAGATACTTCTGCTTGATCTAGAATTCGAAGGCGACACTGAAGCAGAAATGCAACGTAAACGCCCCTCCAAATCTCTGAGGAAGACATACGACTTCGACTAACGTTTTCCTGCAAGAAACTGACTGTTCAACCAGAACGCGAAAGACAACCTGTCGCACTGGGCCACTTCAACAAACATTTACCAATTTACTTGCTCTTGTGGAGCTTAGTACCATGCGCCAACTTGAAAAGCGGGCTCTTGAACACTAGCCAGCCTGGCTAGTAAAAGGAGACCGAAAAGGTGTTTATATAGTTCAGTGACAGAACATCTGGTCTATTCAGGACATTCAGCACTATTCGAAGAAATCCTTCAAAATAATATACCAGATTCGATCAAACCTATCAAAGGCAGTGAAATTAAGACATCTGGGCTTGGCCGAAGCACTAGCCATCCAAAACCTCAAACCCATGCCTTGTATCCAAAAGAAAGACGTTCAACCCTCGTCCAACGCTGATGTGGCCATCATAAACAGGTAATTCTTCTACGAGTGACTATCCCATTGACTTTCTTATGGAAACTTCCTGTTTATTCATGTTATTTTTAAGTTTTTTCTTAACCCCTCTACTATTTACACTACCATATATTTCACATCCGAACTTCCTGTCTATTTTGTCACTTTTATTATTCCTACATATTTAATCCCTGATTGCATAAACACAACTATTTATCACATTAGTTATGACCCCACTAGATTTTGTTTTTATCCAAACATCCTGTCTATCTATTGTTGTTATTTCTACATTTCTAACCCCCAATTGAACAATCAATGTCAAAAGATCTCAGTAATTATGATGCTATTCAAGTGTTGGTTTGTAGGGATTTGATTGGTTTCAGGATTTCATCATGAGCTCACATTAGTTAGAGAACCATTGGTAAACCTGGGAGTACTGCCAGACAGCTGCCTCGTCCTAGTTTGGGACTCTTCAGCAGTACGCACCCACCGCCATCGTCCGAACCCAGGACCTTCCGGTTACAAGGCGAGCTCGTATACCATTAAGCCACTGGGACCCTATCCAATGGTCCTTAAATTCTAAATTCTGCCAATTCACGACAAAGCGCGACCGCTAGACTAATGTCAGCTCATGATGAAATTATGATGCTACTTTGTCTGAGCTTCTACTTCTGTAGCCACTGATTGACGAAAAGTCCTGTCTTCGACTGTGACTGACTACTACTTCCTGTGAATCTGTGTCTCTATACTACTGATAATTGTTGTCAGTAGAACACACCAAAGTATGAAAAAAATATCGAGGCAATGCGTCATGTGGTCCTTCAAACACCACACAAGGAGTCGCCATGCACTAATAGAAACTGACATTCACAACCCAACTTTCCCTCATTTCATGACGCCAAGACATGAGCTCAACACACACCCACACGACTTATTTCGCCAGCAACACTCTCTGCAGCGTCAAACAGTAGTCACAGGCAGAAATGCAGTATATCACCCACTGAAGACGGTGTAACAAAATGAGATATCAACTACTGAAAAACAACTACCAAACTGTCTAAAAACATTCCATTTTGTGGACATATGCACTCACTAACACAATGACACCATAGACAAAAGGAAATTCTATGGATACGCAAGTAGTCGAAAATATGCAGAGCACCACCACCTTTGACCTGAACAAGTAACATCACATTGTACACTTCCTCCGACTATAACCATTTCCGTAGGGTTTCCTCTATTCCATGTGATTAATTAATTAATTAATTTCAAGACCGTAGATTTCATTCAGTAAATTCCAGTAGACTTCAACCTTGAATGCTGAAAATTTATTTAGTGCTTCACAACTTCAGTAAGATGATATGAAGTCTGATAAGTTGTTTTTCTTCTGAATTCTGTATTTTTAGAACAACACATTTAAGCGAACAATATTGTTTTCAATTAGATTTCATCAGGCTTAAATCTAATATATATATATATATATATATATATATATATATATATATATATATATATATATTAATTCTAATGTTATTAAAGGTCTTGCGAGCAGAGCAACAAAGATATGTACGGATGACCTCTTACAAAATAAATTTGAATAAACTCATGATTCCTTGACGGAGATGGGCTGGCTGGCTATCTGAGGAGTTTCATAAAGAAACATATGAAAAAACATCAGAGAGAAAAGTTGAGACTCTGACTGTACGCAAAAAAAACCTCTATTTGTTAAGTTACAATTGAATGGTGACGTGTCTGTCAAGTGAGATTTTATTCCAGAGACTTTCCAGGAGGTTATGGAGAACGTTTTCCGTAGCATACCTATATGTTTCTCATTCTCCGGCCGATGAATGATTGGGATGCGAACGAAGGATAAGCTTGATAGTTGTGCCACATCTATGTGCAGTCACACAGTCGATTTGTCTACATAGTTTCTTATAAAAGGAAAAAAGTGGACATTCATTGTGCATTTCAAGAGAAGCTCTTTCATCAGAAAAGATATAGGAATGCCAACATCGATGTTTCGTCTTTTGAGTTCTTCGCATACAAAGAGTCCACTGTTTCCCATAAGTGGTACACATTGGTGAATAAGGAAGGATACGTCAACAAACGGCATCATGAATTTATTGTCAAAACATTCAAATCTTTTATCCTTTCAACAAATCCAAAAGTATCCTTTACAACACTGTGTTTCACCAACTCGGTATGAAGAGGCTGTAAGAGTTCGACTAATCATTTGGCTACGCGATGATGCTATGGTGAATTTAACATACCTGATACTGGTCGTCGAAGCGGTACACCTTTTATGTGCACTTTAGGCGCGAGCCATATAGTCTTGATGTGAACGTTCCAGTGGGTTTAAATGATGCGTAGTGACTCTGTGAGATGAAGCCCTGTTGATGTTGTTGCTTCAGTCTTCTCAGCGTATCCGCGAACTGTGTCTCCATCTTTTCAATCGGATCCAGAGAAAAGATTTTTTTGGAATTTTAGATTACCATTAAAAGAATAGTATTAATCTTCTCAAAGTAATCAGCTTTGTTCATGATGAGCAGTCCTGAGCCATTATTCGGTCTTCCTGTTCGTCCTGTTTTAGATAAGTATAACTCTCCATTTCATGAAACAGCGAAATGGTTAGTTGATAGTGGTCATGTAATGGAGAGAACGAGAGCTTTCAAAGTAATTCATCGTATCACAACGAATCTCCCCAATAGACTTCGTATTCGTCTACTGCACACACACACACACACACAGAGCTGAGGCAGGCGATAGCCAGTCGAACTATTCAACCTAAATTACGCCTTCATTCAAAAGAAGTTCGTATAGCCATTATCCCTCCCTTCTTTGTTGGCCTATTAAGACATAGCCAACTGAGGACTTCTACACCCCACATACCCCGACAACTTATATTTTCAACCCCTCCCTCTCTTATCATCCCTTAATCTTATCACATCTTCATTAGAAAAAGCGTTTCATTTACTTCTCTTACAAACAGTGTAGCATTATTTAATCAGTTCATTTGTTTTTATTAGCCTTTATCGACTACTATGTGTCTACCTGAACATTTGTTTGTTTAATCATACTGTTTTTCATCAGTATTCGTGTTATCACAGATTGCCTCACTTTTTCATCCTTATTATTGATAGTACCATTACTATTATTATTATTATTATTATTACTATTATTATTATCATTAATACTATTATGAGTAATTGCACAACTTACATTCACCGTTTTATTATTATCCTATAAACAAAACACCATGATGACTGGTTGATATTTGAATTTTTGTTTGTAAAGTCATGTCGGTGTATATTAGAGTTAGGTCTAATGATGAGATCTAATTGAAAACAACAATATTGTTGGCTTAAAAGCCGGCGTTGTTGTTCTAAATTTTACTATGGGAATAATTAATGTATTACATTTTTTTTAATCAATACAGATATCTGGAGGCCATTTCATCTATACCAACATTTAGGCAGAAACTGAGTTCTGTCTGCATGCTGATAAACAGTTAGTTATTTCAGCCACACACACACGACACAGAACTTACAAAATATATACAACGATCCGCATAAAATGCATACGAGTTGAATCAATATTCAAAAGAAGAGAAAAAATTAGAATACTAAACACACATCTAGAAAAATTTTACACGAAATCAATCGATTATATTTATAACTCACTACCACCAAATGGTTCCTTCTCTGATACAAGAAGTGAACTGATTGACTGATTGACTGTTGGTTTCATTACCATAGAACTATGGACTGAGGCGGAAGAGTTCAAGGAGCCAAACTACATTCAGTACACAAAGAAAGACAAGAAAGGAAAAAAAAGGGAAATGTGAAATAGAGACAGTAGACAGGGATATGAGGTAAAAAGAATTGTATTATCGACGAACATTAGAAGTCACAAGGAGTGAATGCATCTGCGCCATTGAAAAAACGATTTTTTGACCATATCAGCGATTTCAATAAAGAAAAAAAAATTCCCCATTTAGACATTTAGAAAACATAAAGATTGAATATTAGAGTAGAGCTAGAGTGAGATGAGGATCTAATTGAAAAGTAAGCATTACTTCGCTTATTCTTCCTGTTTTCTAAATATCAACGATTGTCTCCAGGCCATTGGTTTTTACCATCCCGTGGAACACAACCGATCAGAAAGTTTACATCTTCCTACATGGTTGACTTAAACTAACTGTTGTGGACTTTATTTACTGATGAAGCCATGTTTTGGTTATACTGTGGTGAGAGCAGGCCGTGAGAAAATATGAGCAAGGCTGATTCAACAACCAATCACAGCAAAGTTAACGTGGCAAAATATGATTCGCAGATGGAGAACTCTATTTGTCGAGTAATCCCGAAACAACCAATCAAAAGCCTGCGTTTGTCTGCCTAACTTCTGATAAACAACCAATCAGATGACTGCGCTTGTCTACTTGCATAAGCTATAATAATGTATGTGAAATATGTATAAATACGTGTTGATTTTCATAATAAAACGATCTGTTGCCTGGCCCTTGTCTTCTGTTGTTACAATACCACCACGACTAAGAGGTTTTCCAACCTGATCCTGTGTCAGTCAGCTAACACTGTTGGTCGTGGAAGGCGATGCCTAGGGATGAATACGTAACACATGTCCTAGCCATCTCATTCGACGTAACTTCATGGCCTCGTCGATTGATTTCCCCTCCTCACCTAGCATTCAATGGCCAGGTCTCACAGCCAGGCATAAAGGAGGATGGAGTAGAATGCTGAGCAGTACACCCGTCCTTTGTTCGACAACCAGTCAGCCGGATATCATGTCTACTAAGCCAGAGACGGCGTAAACTAGCATATGCGAAACTAGCCCTCTGTTTCCGTACTGAGATTTCGTCAGCGATAGGCCCGCTGGCGTTGGCTGATGCAACTTCCCAAATAAGTGAAGTGATCAACACGCTCCACCAACCACTTCACCAATCCCTATCTTTAAGCTAGGAGTGTCGGTGTAGTCAAGTGAGTCCTATAACATCATCTCACATTTGACAGCAGGAGTGAATCGCTCGCATGCCAGACATTCGTAGATTGCAGCTCAAGGTGTTAAGAAGACTAGGCTGTATTTCGTCAGCGTCTTCACCTAGGACTCAAGAAGCGAACTTAAACAAAGAGAGACAGTTTCAAACGGTGCTTTTCTGTAGAATTAGGTGTAATAGACGAATCGCTCTCTTATTTAGCATTTAAAACACCAATACGATGTAGGGCAGCAAGAGAACGAAAAGATTAAAATATGGTGAGAGTAATAATTATATGAGTATATGTAATTCAACAAGGTGTACGAATACCTTACACCTACACAAGAATTACCTAAAAGTAGGGATCTGTACGTTCGTCATTAGTTCAATCCTGGAATGCTCACCAGCCAGCTATATGAGATGAGGACTGAACTCGATTCCCAGTCGACGCACCCATAAACTTCGCCTGATCACTAGCTGAGATAGTAAGCCCAGAAAATAATAAAGGTTGGGTGTGACGCTAGTAAACGCACTCTTCTATATAGATAACACCGTAACGGTACAGGAATGTTTCATAAATTGATTCCCTTTTATAAATTTGAACAAAGAAAGAAGAAAAACTGGCAAAGGATAATCTGGATCCATTTTATTTCGTCGGTTCTCATTAAGAGCAGCCCTGTCTAGGACGTATCCTGCAGCGTTATTAGTCTCTCTCTCTTTCCACCCCGAACAACCCCTTCACTGGTGCAGTCAAGTCAACGATTGACAAGTACCCTTCACATGTTACCTCCAACTGTCTATAACCGATTCACATGTATCTGCGGGAACAGTTACATTGGAAGAACAGAAAGACGAGGGTTAACGTCAGATTCTGCGAACATATACCAAGGAGCGAGCCTCCGGTTAAAGCAACCGAATTGTTGAAGCTCTTCAATCGTCGCCAAACACCTGATTGACACAGGATATCACCACCGAGTAAATGTCTTGGAATCATTCGAAATAAAAAAACTAACAGACAAAGTACTACCTCAAGTCTTCTCAGGTTTCCTGAAGCTATAGCAATAAAACGATTGAAGCCTGCCTGACTACTTATGTGTATCCAAAATCAATCCGTGGTTGAACTTTAATTACCCTGGTGACTCATCTCATCTTAGTAACTCTCTTTGTTGTGTAATTTTGCTAACTTATCTTTTCCCTCCCCCACCCCTTGCTTTATTTTTCGCTTGACTCTCTTAGGAGATAATTTTTCTCTTGATCTTTTGAGTTCTGCTCACCTGTATCACATCGTCAACTTCTCTCTCATTTGACCTCATATGCACCAAACCATGTTGATCTCCTTTCATCTAATTACGTAACTATTACTAATTTTCTTTTGTTACCACACCAACAACACAACTGGTAATTAATTTTTCATGTCGTAACACTTTAGACACCTTGTAAATCGCAACGCCTTATTTCACAATGACGCTCTGACAATATGCGCTTGCTAATGGACAAAAGTTTGTTAAAATTGTACACACTTTTTATTTGTTATTTTATTAAAGAATTCAGGTTGTACGCAGTTGTGCTGATGAGAACCGACGACGAAATAAGATGGATCCAGAGACCATATTCTGCTCGCCAATGTTTCTTCTTCTTTCTTTGTTCAAACAGGAATGTTTGTTTGGAATTCGGTATTGCTATATATACATAGCCAAATTATGTACACATTATCTTCATTGAATCACCATTTGAACACAGATCTTCTGTGTGCTGTGCTACTCACACATCCTTCATATTGTGCGTGCGTTTCTTTGTGTTCCTCTCTCTCTCCCTCTCACTTCTCCCACCCCATGCTTTTCCGTAACACTGAATCATTTGTTTACCCTCTCTTGCTTTACTTTACTTCGGCTATCTCCTACGGGAGGATGAGCCGGCTTCATGAACACATCTCGAATCATCGCTGCCAAGGCGCGGCGATCTGATCCAAGGTTTCGCCACGACAGGGTTATCCAATTCTTGTTCCACAAACGGAGTCCGTAGACGGTTTGTAGCCCCAGCCTAGACACTCCATATCAGCCTTGACTGACTGTACCAAGCCATGTGTTTTTAGCTGTCCACCCCCTCCTGCGACATCGCCAAGATGGAAATGGCGAGGAGGGATTAAGAACTGATTTGACCAGATCGTCACATCTGGTCGGCTCAGAACATGGCCAAACCACCGAAGGCGACGTTGTTCGACCAGTACTGGTTGATGTTGGTTGATGTTGTAGCAACGAGAGTTCATGAAGTTTCATAGGAATCAGGTACGAGTGATGTCCCCAGAATCGCTCGGCCTTTTATCTGAGAGTGCAGCTCTAGCCTTTACACGACCAACCAAGTGTGACCTCCTACAAGGCAGTAGGAGTGGAGTAGGGAGTCCACTATCCATTGGAAGCCAGCCGGTCACAGGAGCCCGGTTCATACGCCTTTTTGAATGGGGCCAGACATGCACCAGGGCATCCAATAAGCCCTTTGTCCATACGTCTGACGGTGAGCTCCGGTGAGCTTCATACGCCAGTCGTTGGAGGTTTGGAATCAGGCAGGGTTGAGCCATCTCCCCTAGACTGTCTGTCATCCAATGGACAGTCAACCCGGTGAAGATCGCCGGTCATCCACTTTTGCCCTCTCACTTTGGTGAAAAACACCGCCACGTGAAGGCAGTGAGGACTGAGGACTTCCTCAGGAGAGGCTATGTAAGACGCCCAGTCATATGGGAGCATTTCAAGAGGTGTACGGTGGGAGGGGTGGCCAACCCGCAGTAGCGCAAGGTACCCACCCCCGACCATCCTGAGGCTTTCTCTCTGACATCAAATAGAATATATGCCCTCCCCCAGCTAATTTGATATTTTTATGCCGATGAATGTACTACTACCAATAAGATTTATCAGTAGGACATGCCATAACACACACACACACACACTACCGCCAATGGAAATTCACAGCTTATGATGGATGCTCCACTCGACACACTTCGCCATTTTTTCCAAAAAATCAATGATGCATAAAATAATTATGATGATGATGATTATAATTATTACCGCTGTTGTTTTATCCTGCTGTAGTATAATGACACTCTAGAAATAGAGGACACTTCCATATTAAACCAAAAGATGACTAACAGAAATAAAATGCGGAAAGCAAGAAAATAAAAAAAAACCTCTGAAACAAAAACAAAATTAACACCCGTCTTTTTTTTAATACACTTTAATATGATGACACTGTCAAAATAAACGGTAGGTGTTGGTTTGTAGGGAGGGAATTGTTTGATTGATTGGTTGAAGGATTTCATCACGAGCTGATATCAGTTAGAGGACGACTGTGAAAACCAGTCAGGCAGTACTACTGGAGAGGTGTTTCGTCAGCCTAGTTTCGGACTCTTTAGCAGTACGCACCCACTGCCAGGGTTCAAACTCAGGACCATGTTCTGTTTACAAGGCCAGCGAGCGAGCTCGTATACCATTCAGCCACTTTCACTGGTACCCGAGATCCAATGGCCAACTAGTTCATGAATTCTAACTTCTGATAATTCACGAACATTAGAGCGCAACTAGCAGTAGCCAATGTCTTCGATGGCGAGTATTTGTCCTCACACCCCTACCTGCTGCAGCACCCTATTGGTCACGACTTCCCAGTAGAACCTTAGGTAACTAACTACCTAAATAGGGCCACTCGCCAGTGAACAATTTATTGATATTCAAGTATTGGTTTGTAGGGATTTGCTTGATTGATTACAGGATTCATGGACTGGCCATTGAATCGGGTCCCATCCCAGTGACTTAATGTTCTACGAGCTCGCTCGTTGGCCTTGTAACCAAAAGGTCCTTGATTCGAACCCCAGTGGAGTAGATGAATACTGATGAAGAGTCCCAAACTAGGACAACAGAGACAGCTGTCCAGTACTCCATGCAGGTTTTCCAATGGTTGTCTGACCAATAAACCGTAAGTAGTATATATGCTAGTAATAGATGACAAATAACAGAACAGAACAGAACTACATTTGTACAACTCACTGGATATTTTAATTCTTTCCGTCACTTTGTTTATTATTAATTTACCATCTGCATATAGTTAAAAAATTAAGATAACTAAAAGATAGAGAGCTCACAAATGCCACACATTTCAGGGCATTCCTAGGTAAAATAGGTGGTAAAAAAGTAAAACGCATTGCAAATTTTTTGTGTTAAAACAATCTATCATATACGAAAGTCTAATACTAGTGTACTAGTACTTTTGGCACGTAAACACTATCGCCATAGCAATAAGGAGAGTTTGCTGGTATTAGATGGTTAGAAGCAATTGGCCAGAGGAAGCCTTGTCTGACCTAGGTTTCGTGCTGCTAGTTGGCACTCATCCGCTAGGCGTATCTGCAACCACATTGAAGGAACTCATGTCTCTTCTGGGATTGGAACCTGCGTCACCCAGTGCCGCCTGCAGTCAGAGATGTTACCACTGAGCTAGCTATTCCGAGTCGCGATTGACCTCCTGGAGGACTGTAGTGGGTAATTTCACTGGACACTAGTAACTAGTGTGATGTGTCTACTCCTAGTCTAGTTGGCCAGATTGCGAACCTGACTCATGGAATTAAGTCTGCACCAAAAAAAGGACTAGACACACATCACACTAGTTACTAGTGTCCAATGAAAATATGGAGAGTTCTATGCGCTCATGGAAGTGTATCAACACAATTACCAATCCCAACAACTTTGCATACTATGAAAGCGCGCTTTCTTCCCTTAATATATGTCTGAAAGTAAGTAAGTATTGGTGTTGGCTAGGTAACTCCACAAAATCCTAACAACACAACTGCTTGAGGTTGCACACACACACACATACAAGTGGAATCCGGTCTACTACAGAAGACGTCATCAGTACAAAGGGAGTGACAAAAAGTAAGTTGAGATTTATGCTCTTTTTGGGGGGTCACAAACTTGTCTACTTATGGATCTTCCGCAGATCTTAAAGAGTAGTGTAGTATTGTATATCCCACATGTTGAAGAAAACTGCTTTTAATCATAGCATTGCTGCATAAACTTTCTCAGGTGATAAGATCTGCGAAAACATGTGTACTGCAGCAAGCAGCTTAGCTCATTAGGTCATTGTGACATTTACAAAACCCTCCTTAATGTAGTATTTTAAGGTGCCAAATGTTGTGTAGGGTGGAAATCGTAAGGGATGCGGATATTCCCCCCTCCCGCCCTAAGAACGAGTATTCTTCACTCGTTATGTGGTGAGAGCAGCCTGCTAACCAATTGGTTGACATTAATCTACGTCAATGTCTAGGTCACTTACATGGGCCGTGAGAAAATATGAACCAGGCTGTTTCAAAAACCAATCACAGTAGACTTAAACGTGGCCAAATATCATTCGCAGATAGATAGCTCCACTCCACTTTCCGAGGAACTCGAAAACAACCAATCAGAAAACTGCGTTTGTCTACTTGACTAGGCTATAATAATGTATGTGAAATTTATATAAATACGTGTTGATTTCCGTAATAAAACGATCCATTGCCTGACCCTTGTCTTCTGTTGTTACAGTTACACTTTTACGTAGTGTCAGAAAGAAGAGAACACGAAGTTCAGCAAACTGATATAATATCTGTCTTTTTGGCGGTTTCATTCTCAAAACCAGCTGTGCAATCGGATTTATTATATACATTAGTTTACATGGATACAATTATTATTATTATTATTTGTTTAAATAATTCCTTATAGTAGCGAAGGAGATAATTATTTTTTCAACTTGATATGTAAGTGTGAAGGTATGAATATAGATTACAAGAGGGTCTTAGAGATAAGGTTGCATAGGATTAGAAAAAAACACAACGTATGCAAAATTGATATTTTTGATAACTGGAGAAATAATAGTTTAAAAGTCGAATAAAAGGTGACCATTATTTTCAACTTGATGTTAATTAAGCGGAAAGGCTTAGAGACAAAAGTTACGTAGGGATAGAACGAATTACAGGTGTGAACAAAATGAGTATGGAAACAAATTGAAATCAAAATTTTTTTCAACTTGAAATGTAATTTAGGAGGTGTGTATGTGAGTGAATATAGATTACAAGAGGGATCGAGAAGTCGGAGTTGTGTGTTCAAAAGAAATCAGTCCAACCTCTACAACTACCATGGACCTAGTTCGGTATGTTCCCCTTAGCTTCCGTTTTTTTCTTCTTTTTTCGTTATCTTTTTTTGACCTTTTATCGTTCGCTGTGTGTGTGTGATTGTTAATCCCTCTGTCTTTATTCGATTTAAACTATTTCTGTTTTCAGTTGTAAGAACAGTTATTTTAAGTGTGTTTCCATGCTCCTCTTGATCACAATTGTAATCCGTTTAGAATAACCATTTTATTATTATATTCTAATCCTGTGTAACTTTTTGTCCCTGTGCCTCTTGTAATCTATATTCACTCAAATACACACCTCCTAAATTACATTTCAAGTTGAAAAAAATTTTGATTTCAATTTGTTTCCATACTCATTTTGTTCACACCTGTAATTCGTTCTATCCCTACGTAACTTTTGTCTCTAAGCCTTTCCGCTTAATTAACATCAAGTTGAAAATAATGGTCACCTTTTATTCGACTTTTAAACTATTATTTCTCCAGTTATCAAAAATATCAATTTTGCATACGTTGTGTTTTTTTCTAATCCTATGCAACCTTATCTCTAAGACCCTCTTGTAATCTATATTCATACCTTCACACTTACATATCAAGTTGAAAAAATAATTATCTCCTTCGCTACTATAAGGAATTATTTAAACAAATAATAATAATAATAATTGTATCCATGTAAACTAATGTATATAATAAATCCGATTGCACAGCTGGTTTTGAGAATGAAACCGCCAAAAAGACAGATATTATATCAGTTTGCTGAACTTCGTGTTCTCTCTTCTTTCTAATGCCCTTATGGGATGGTTTATGTAATACAAGTAAGATTTTATTTCGTAATTCTTTTTTTCTGCTGGAAAGCTTACTTTATCTACACATAAATTTCAGAAAGTAAAGGAATGTGAACTAAAGGAATTTTGTGTGCAACAACACTTTGAAATTCACAAAAATAGTAAAACACAAATGAAAAATGCCAACACAGCTTTCAGGGTTATATACCGATACCGAATTCCGAAGTCGTTATCACGTACAGTTAGTTCGCTTACGTCTCCTACACATAGCTAAAGCTGTTTTGTTGCAATAAGATCGACTAAACCGGAACTTTGTATCCAAAAAGAACATGTCCAGACACTAGTTGTTCCTCCTACCGTGGCCAAACTTAGATTGATGATTCTTCTTCTGCTCACCAAGTGTGCTCCTTCCATTTAACCCTCTTCGCTTTTTTTCTTTGCTTATTATTATTAATATTATTATTAGTCAGTATGGACTAACATGGATGCAGGTGAAATGTACAGCAGAAGACAGAAGCAAGTGGAGACGTGCGGTTAAAGCGCTGTGTTCCACTAGGAACCCAAAGGAACAATAATAATAATGATTATTAGTCATAATTTATACCCTTCATGCAAACATTCCCTCAATATCATCAAATTTTTCATTTATACTATCCGGACTTATCACTAGTAAGTGATATTATCTCTTTTCTCAATATATGCCTCCACCTGTTTCTTCATTCCACACATTCGTTATTTCACTATGAACCACCTCTCATTTCAGTCTTACTATCTCCTGTTTAACACAGACCACTTTGTACTAGCCACTCACCTCACATCTTTTATAACCTTGAACTTGTCAATTTTCTTACCCCACACTCAACAAATCTATTATGACGATTAATCACCACCACTATTGCCTCCCATTTCACCGAAATATTTTGGTAATCGATTTCAGCCTACTAGCACGATGTTTGTAACACTCGAATATGACTATTTATTTTGACACCCCATAACTGATAATCTGTTATTCTACGTTAAAAAAGGTATCCGCCGCATAACTAACTGGCCATCATTATTGTAACGACAACAAATATTAAAGTATATTTTATAATTGTAAGAATCTGAATAGGAGAAGGATTTATTGAAAAGAATATTCTTCTTCATTCAGATTGACTTTTAAATATAACAAAACACACATTTACCCGTAAAAAAGAAAACAAGGGGGGGCTTACTTTATTTGCAGGACGAGGTATGAAGAGATCAGAACTTGAGGAAGACGTAGTGCTTACACGTATCGGGGATTTCTTTTTAGGTAGTTGTCTAACATTTGACTTTGAAAATGTATCAAGATAAAATTGTAAAATAAAATAAGTATCTGAACAAAGAAGCAAGAACTACAGTGGTTTTAGCAGAATAAAATGATACCATCATTGCTTATTTCTTTGTCTTCTCATCAGCTGCTTCCACAGGCCACAATCATTATTAAATATATCTACAAAAACAATTTTAACATACTTATCCACACAGAGTTCATTTCTGAACAAAAATCAATCGACCAATATATGCATACAGTAATAATAATAATATATAATATTAAACACTATTCCCAACAATAATAATCATACACAATGGAAACTTTTCAGCATTATGCATTCAGATGAAAGAGAGATGAAAAATATCCAGTTACCAGGCAGGGTAGAGAAAGACTGATAACCGCTTCTTTCTGATGGACGCATAAATCAGGTTTCAGGCGCTTGATGGACGGAGATGGCTTCAGCAAACTTTAAAAGAAGTAAGTTCTTCTGCCTATTGATAATTTTGAACGACTTTTCGACGTCCACCCCATAACCAACCGGTGTGAAGAATATGCCTGGCGATGTCACTGTTTAAAGCATTTATTCCCAGCTGTAGACATAAGCTTTTTGGTACACGTTCAGAAAATCAGAGATATGCCCTCCTTTGTGTTCTTCTAATGTAAATTTGTACATACAGTTGCAGTTGTTAACATGACAAGGATATTTATCGATTTTTGATCGCACCAGAGAAGAGCAAGTTGTTCGATAGACGGGAACGAGCTTTGCTGCATGATAGGCTATGGGTAGTGACGTACTCAGCCTTCTGTTGATCATTACTGCAATGTTTTCACCTTTATAATCAAGCTGAATGCAGATTGGCTTTTTACCCGGAGTGTGATTTGTTTTACGTTTGTGACTTCAAATCTTCCATACTTTTGATGACATTAGATGGTTGGAGGAGGCAATCGGCCAGAGGAAGTCTTGTCTGACCTAGGGTTCGTGCTGCTAGTTGGCATTCACCAGTCAGTCAGCAAGGCGTATCTGTAACCATATTGAAAGAACAGCTTATGTCCCTTCTGAGATTCGAAACCGCGTCACCCAGTGCCGCCTGCAGTCAGAGACGTTACCACTGAGCAGCTATTCAGGCTCGCGATTGACCTCTTGTAGGACTGTATTGCATTTTTTTTGGCTTCTTGCCGATTGCCTCCAACTATCTAATACCAACTATTTCACCGCGTAACGGCGAGCCACCTAGTGGCATGGTGGCCACATTGCAAAACCTGACTCACTGACTGACTGATAGAATTCAATCTGCACCAAAGATCCAAAAAATATCCAATACAGTCCTACAGGAGGTCAATCGCGACTCGGAATAGTGGTGGTAACTCAGTGGTAACATCTCTGACTGCAGGCGGCACTGGGTGACGCAGGTTCCAATCCCAGAAGAGACATGAGTTCCTTCAATGTGGTTGCAGATACGCCTAGAGGATGAGTGCCAACTAGCAGCACGAAACCTAGGTCAGACAAGGCTTCCTCTGGCCAATTGCTTCCAACCATTTAATACCAAAACACTGATTTTAATAAACAGCTTTGGAAACTAACACATTCATATCATCGATACATTGGAAACAATGCTATAACCATTTCTTTATATAAGACTGAATATGACGCAGACAACTTAGAAACAGTTCATGTTGAATGGTACATGCTAGTGAAAGTACACTAATTATGTGTGTATGTATAATATATGTATGCGTATGTATATTACCCCAATGACGAGGTGTTTGAAGTAAACACAGGAGTCAGACAAGAGTGTTTATTATCACCAATGAATGATATTCCTCATTGTGGTGGACTGACTGGATTGTGCATCAGACAGTGGGAAACGAGAAGACACGGAGGGATATCCCGGGACCGACGTGAAGAACCTAGAAGACCTGGATTTCGCGCACCGATGATTTATGTTTGATGTCACACACAATCGAAGACTTAGAGACAAGCGAAAACCGACAAACTGGACGAAGAAGAAGCCGGTGAAGACAGGACTCCAGGTGAACATATACTAGACGGAGGTTATGAAAATAACCAACCAACCAACAACAGCAACATCCAGCACCAATTACCATCAACGGGAGGGATTCGAAAGCGGTTACTTCATTCACTTAACTAGGGAGGAACGGACGAAGATGTGAAATCGAGAATGGAGAATCGGGAAGACGAGAAACACATTCATTCATCAACCTGAAACCAATCTCAAAATCTTCGTCACTCAGCCAGCATCAACAACAAAATTCACTCGGATTTTCAATACAAACACGTCAAGTCGGTCAGTTCTTCTATACGGATCAGAAACTTGGCGGGTGGGTCACAAAGAATATTTCCACCAACAGACTGTTGCAGACCTTATATTTATCAATAATTGTCTTCGCTCAGTGCAAGGGTGACATGCAGGAGGAGATCGTGTGAAAGGGAGTTGAAACAGTATGGACTAACATAGATGCAAGTGAAAAGTACAACAGAAGACAGAAGCAAGTGGAGACGTGCAGTTGAAGCCCTATGTTGCACACTAGAAACCCAAGGGAACAATAATAAAATAATATTTTCTATAGTTTGGTTTGTAAGGATTAGTTATGTTTTACGAGTTGATCACGGATTGATATCAGTTAGAGAACCATTAAAAACCAGGGAGTACTGGACAGCTGCTGTTTCATCCTAGTTTGGGAATCATCGGCAGTACGCACCCACTGGGATTCGAACCCAGGACCTTCCATTTACAAGGCAAGCTCGTATACCATTCAGCAACTCACTGGGACCCGATTCAATGGCTCGTGAATTCTAACTTCTACCATTGAATCGGGTCCCAGTGAGTTGCTGAATGGTATACGAGCTTGCCTTGTAAATGGAAGGTCCTGGGTTCGAATCCCAGTGGGTGCGTACTGCCGATGATTCCCAAACTAGGATGAAACAGCAGCTGTCCAGTACTCCCTGGTTTTCAATGGTTCTCTAACTGATATCAATCCGTGATCAACTCGTAAAAAACAAAATAATAATAATAATGTATAATATAATTCAGTTGAAACATATTCACCTTATTATTTTTTGAACGTGGTATAAAAAGTTCAGATCCAGAAGAGGATGCGCGTACAGGTGACTTGAACGGAAAAGAATGATTATCAGTACTACCTGGATTCTCATCTAACTGTATTCACAAAAACAAAAACACAAAAATAAACAGATTTTATAAAAGGCAGAATACTATCAGGTTTTTCTTTGTTAAGACAATAGGTTAGTCATATATGTCCAAACCCCAAGTTCACTTTTAACAAATTGAAAAAAAAGTTTGGACATTGGGTGGTATATGATATTCACTATAATAAAGGTTATTTTCTTGTATTTCCTAATGAATGATTGAAAAAGAACAAAACGACATTGTTGTTCTTACTGACTGACGTTTCGCTATTTAATGCTGCTGCTAATAGCTTTATCAAAGCAGGAGTATTATTAAACCGGAATCACAAAGAACGTCTCATAACATCAGGAGCACTTCATGTTATCAAATGGAATCCAAATTGTCTGAACTGAATAGGAATAATGGACTAAAACAGAATCTGACCTGGTTACAACATTCCCAACCCCTCCCCCATGAAATGACAAAATCAACACGAATGTGATAAGCAAGTTCACTATGTAAACACACACACAATGCTTTTATAATTTTACACACTGATCAAATCCAACAATCTACACTTGATTTTGTTATCTTTACCAATTGACCAACTTGGCAACCAAAAATGACCCTAGACTGACGAACGCTGATCAAGTTTGTAAATTTTGTTTTGATACCAACCAGGGCAGATGTACTATTAACTCTCTTATTTGGTTTAGTCATTCATCTTCATTGTTATTTTGACCTTCAATATGTCCTCCTTTTAATTAGACCTAAGTAGTCTATTTTCTCACCCACCTCTTAACTCTTTGTTATATATAAGCTGAGTGGATTTTGTAAATTCTTCTAGTTTAGTAATACTCCTGCTTTGATAAAGCTATTAGCAGCAGATTAAATAGCGAAACGTCAGTCAGCAAGAGTAACAATATCGTTTTGTTTTTCATGATTCATTGGGAAAAACAAAAACCAGTTGAGATGTTGTGGGAGGTATGTTGACCAGATGTTCAATAATGGCACTTCTGATTGAACCGGTGCCTCCTCAGAAGAGCCATTATTGAACATCTGGTCAACACACCTCCTCCCACAACATCTCAACTGATTCTTTCAAAGTGATTTACAAAGTCAACAAAAATAACAAAACCTTTGTTGTAATGATTAGGTTAGTCATCTCAAAATTTATTGGAAGTGAAAACAACCCACCACAAGTTACACAACTCAACTCATATACAAATAATCAATACAATTTAATAAACCTACCACCTACAAGTCTAGACGTATTATATCAGTCGCAATTTTGTTAGAAGAAGGGGAAGACGATGACAATAAATAAGAGCAGTAAGCTCTATCTCTTTTTGCTTGATAACCGCAATCAAGTAATCACGACACCAAAGTGCAAAAAACACTATGATATTCACTACCGTACATTCATCTACGTGATTTTGATAGTGAATGAATGAATGAATTAGTGTTATGGACAACAACATTAATGTTGCTGTTTAAATAACATTGAATCAATAATAATAATAATAATAATACCAGTGGATTACAGTTCAATAGCATCAACAAAACACTACACACTGAATGTCAGTTGAATAAGAAAGATAATATTACAAATTCATGAATGTATAATCTCCACCCACTGAAGGTCGACCAGGGTAGTAGTAGGGGCTGGCTAGATAGACTTGCTTCTCCTCCACACACAGAACTGGTTGTTTGAGGCGAATTACAATAGCTTCTGGTGTTTCGATCATGCGGTGCTTCGATGATGGTTTTGTCAATTTGTTAGGCACCCTGGTTGGCTTTGTGGCCGGCCGGTCGGTTTGCATCAGATGGTGCAATATCGAACTGTTCATGATGGTTTTCACTACACCTTTACCTAGCCATCCATAGTGGGAGATGTTCTCGGGCGAGCCAGCACGAAAAATCAAGCTCCTAGAGCAACGGCCGATATAACTCGCTCCACCACAAGCACATTTGCAGTTGAATTCGTAGATACAATTTAAAGTGGCCAGCCTAGGTACTTCATATTTCAGTCGAGGTAGCACCATCGGTCGTGTAAAGAATAAGACGTGTAGTTCGCCAGCACTCAAAGTCCTTTGAAGTGATTTTATTCAGATTAGTGTGAGCACCAATACACTCACTGAGAAGCAGCTTGTGAGAAACATATGATGGAAAACCCACGTCCAGGATTTCAGTGCCAGACACCATCATATACTTCTCAGTTACTCACTCGGCACCAGTTTTTTGTGTACCAGGTTGCCAGCTCCACACAATTACTATTTAGGTGGCTGATGATATACTACCAAACTGCCTGAAAATGGAAGCGGAAGGGGATTCAACTTCATACCTACCAGTAAACTGAAGGGCGTGCGTTTACATCTCTACGCTGTCACCAAACATTTATAAAACAAAAAAATATAATTGAACCAGAAAAGAATATCCTTCTCGATAAATTTCTCCTCCTCTTCTCGCCCTACAATTATATCTATATATGCATGCATGTTTGTATACATAGAATATTCTAGATTAGTAGTAGTCAATAACAATATCGGCGTGTTTTTTAAATAATATCGATTTGTAAAATAAGATCACAATGGAATTACCACAGATCATTAAAGATGCTTAAATAATAATAATAATAAAGATATAGTAGGAAATGGAATATCAAATAAAATTACGAAAATTTCACAAACATTCAGGATCATTCAAACCTGGATGGATGGCCAAGTGGGTAATGATGGATAATGTCTGAACAAACCAACTTCTTTTGGATGCACAAATTAGGCTTGTTAATATGGATCTCAACGGCCAACCAGTCTCATCAATATTTAGTAATCGAACTCTTAAGCAAAATAGAGATTCCCTGGTATGCGGTAAATGATCCTTAAAGCCTGGTCATAACATCAGTCAGTCATGTGTTGTGTATCCACAAGATGAGTACGATAGAATAATAATCGTACGACCTACGAAAGTAACTTGCTCACTTTACAGGAGCAGTTAAATTGGTAGATACACATTCATGGAAGAGGCGAAATTAGGCAGTTTGTCTTTTACTCCCGAACGCAAAAGAGGAGTGATTTTGAAGACACAGCGTAATTCGGTAGCAGGGAATGCTCTTTTTATCGTGATTTCAGCATTTTAATGAACTGTGGTAATTCCATTGTGCTCTTACTTTACAAATCGATATTATTTAAAAGTACACTAATATTGTTATTGACTACTAGTCTAGAATATTCTATGTATATAAACATGCAGCATATATAGATATAATTGTAGAGCCAGAGGAAGAGGAATTCATCGAGAAGGATATTCTTTTCTGGTTCAATTACATTTTGGTGTTTTATAATTGGACTATAATTCAAATACATACGTGTCAGTATCAGAGTCATCGAAGTCATTCCCATCTCATACCTAAGAGTTATCTTTCTTCCATAGCTGCTGCATGATTTCTTCTACACATACACAGTAACAAATGTAAGAGTGGGACTTGAGCACTCTGATAGAATATGATATATATATATATATATACATATATATATATATTAGAAGAGATGATCTAATATATATGTGAATGACATAACGAGCAGATTTTATTGCTCACTACGGATCATCATTGAACACAGCTTGGAATGGCAGTCACCTTTCTATCTCAAATTATTCGACTTTGAAAAGGCCTTCGACAACCACGACCGAGAGGTGATTTGGCAACTGCTTCGCTACTTCGGAGTGCCACCAACAGTTAGTTGTACGACAATGCTGCGTGCCAAGTAATCTACAACGAAAAACTTACGCAATCCTTCGAAGTGAAAACGGGAGTAAGACAAGCTGACTGCCTGTTATCGCAAATGATTTTCCTGATTGCAGTAGATTCGATAATGCAACAGACAGCTGGCAGGGCAGCGAGGAAACAGGATTAAAATGGACCCATACAAAAAACTTGGAGGATCTGGACTTCGCCGATGTGATATATATGTCTGATTTGCCACAAACTGCTAGAAGATATGCAAGTGATGAAAAGTAACAAGTTGGCGATAGAAGAAGCATCCAGAGAAGATAGGACTTCCTTCAGGTGAACATAGAGAAAACAGACGTGATGAAAATTCCTGGACAACACCAACAGCAGCAACAACAACAACACCAACAGACAACATTCAGCCAGCATAAATCGGAGGAACTCGAAAGAAACAACTTCCTTTACCTACCTGGAAAGCATCGTTTCAACTACAGAGGGAGGGAACTGACGAGAATATCAAAGCAGCGAGGACCGGGAAAGCAAGGCAAGCTTTCATTACTCTCAAGTCCGTGTGGAGTCAGTCAGTGCTACTCACCATACGGATCAGAGAATTGGCCAGCGCGTCATAAACAGCACCTCAAACAAACTACACACCTTCATCAACAGCTAGTTGTCTTCGCTCAATGCCACTATTCAAGACCAGATGGTCGGCTGGCTAGAAAAGATCACCAACACGGAGGGGTCTCTGGCAATGAGCGAACCAGCCAACCCAGAAGGAACCGATTGTGCAACAAATATATCCAGGAAGAAATGGAGGTGGATTGGATTGTGGCCATACTCAGAGGCAGCAAACCATCAAATGAGTGACATCACTAGACAAGCCATTGCTCGAGTGAAACCCAACGGAAATGGAAGCAGTGGAGAATTGATCGTCCATGGGTGAGGATGACTGGGAGTGAAGAGGGTGATGTGAAGGGGAGGAGATGATGAAAGCATGTGGGCAGACGTGGAGCGGGGTACTCCCAGTACTCCCAGATTTTTACGATATGCTCTACCCTGTACGCCTAAAAGTTGTACTGTTTCTCTAATAGGTGGTGAGCCATAAGACAATTTGAAACTCTGATTGTCATTTACGTAATTTAAGTATATATTAACAATTTACATCCCTGGTTATAAATAAATAAATATAAACTGGAGGAAAATGCAAATACCAATTAATTAATTATCATTTCAAATGATATGATTAATCACCTTAGGTTGGGCAAAATCTGAATTCGATGTAGACATACTGCTTGAAGGAAAATTCGACTTTGAACTAGCAGCATGCACATGAGATGATGAATCGGTTATCGGTGGAGATATCGACGATAATGAATCACTTGTTTTCACCTGTACAATTGTTGTTGTTGTTTATTTGAACAAAAATTGAAAAACAAAAAAAGGAAAAATTTGATCAATATATATGTGTAAAACTTGGGAACTGTGGTGGCGGTGGTAGTAGTAAGTAATTCCGTATTAGTTTGTTTATTAAATGTATCACACAGTGAGTGAAACAATATTTTTAGTGTTTACTGGATGACAAAGTTTCGAACACAATTCGTTATTGCTGTTCATAATTATACACATCACCAATTATAATCACACGACTTTGAAACTTGACTTTTATAGTTTTCTTTGCCCTCTCCTATTTGTCGTCATCATTGGGGTAGAAGGATTTTCCAGATATCCCAATTACAGGCACATAGTTGCAGTTGATTCGATAAACAAAGCTTCAGTTGTCAATCTTCCTCACTCGCCACCCTGTTAGTTGCATCAGATTTCAAAACTGTTATCCTATCCCATCCAGCCAATTGTATGGTTGTATGTGATTGCATGTAGTGAGTAGTATAGCTGAACTATTCTCTAGATTTCTCACCTTATTCGGGTCAACCAATCTATATTTTGCTGCTGGGTTTATGTGCTCGGTTAGTCTGACTCACTGACCCTGTCCTGCTACTTTCAACTATGCATTTGACATGACAATCATTCCAGCACACAGGGTATCAGATAAACTAAATTGTTTTATCGGTTAAAGGCTCCACTGTCAGGATTGATCCTTTAGCTGACAAAGCTTGTTTCTAATTGACTTTGTGGTTGATTTGAATTGCAGCCACTTTTATTCCTGCCTGCCTTGTTAAAAAGTTCTGCGTCAGGTGGTTTTCGAAGTTCCTTCCTTGTATGGAATTACTACTGTTGATTTAGATTCCTTATTGTTAGTGTTATCATTATCCTGTGCATGTTGGATATGCATGTGGTGATTAATATTATCATTATCACTATCACTACTATCATTATTTATTTCATTCTTACATTTACTTACATATTTCCGGACTACTTCATCGGGGTAATTATTAAGTTTCAAGGCTTCTCTCATATGTGTCACTTCCTGTCTTAGATTTTCCTTGGTACTACTTAGATTGTGTTCCCTGTTGCCACTTGAACATTTCACCAATTCTATTTTTACTGAAATAAGATGATGAAAAATCCAAATATCTGTTTGAATGTGTGCGTTTTTTTTAAACACACACACACTAGTGTGTTTAACTTCCCATCTTCTTTCCTTTATACGTTGCAATCTAACATTGGTAGTTCCGCTTCCTGACTTTCCAATTTTATCATAAGTGAATTGAATTGTCTGCACCTTTTAGTTAGTTAATATGTTCGAAAAATCTATCTATAACCTGTGTTCTAAGTACAGTGAATGTGTCGTCTACTACATACCTCCAGCATAGCGCTACATGCAGTTCCACACAACCATACAATATAGGCTGGATGAGATAAGATGACAGTTTCAAAATCTAATACAGCTCACAGGGTGGCGAGTGGGAAAGATTGATAACAACGGAAGCTCTGTTTATCGAATCAACTTCAAATCAACACGTGTAATAGGAATGATTCAATACCTGTTCAACCAGATATCTGGAAAATTCTACTACCAATCCAATGACGACGTCAAATAGGAGAGAACAAAGAAAACTATAAAAGTCAAGTTTCAAAGTCGTGTGATTATAATTGGTGATGTGTATAATCAAATCTCTATCCGGGAAGAGATCAACACAAGCGAAACCTATAAAAGACAGCCAAGGGAACCCAATTACCAAGGAAGAAAAACAGATTAAACAATGGGCGGATCACTTCAAAGGACTCTTGAACCGACCATCACCTGCAACCCGTCCAGAAGTACCAACAACAGCGCGCACACAACTGCAAGTTGACACCAATCCCCCAACGATAGCTGAAGTCTTGAACGCAATCAAGCTTCTAAAAGCTGGAAGAGCAGCCAGACCAGATGGAATACCCCCTGAAGCACTCACTGAAAGCGGACCCAGAGACTACAGCAGACATGCTGACTCCATTATTGCAAAAGGTCTGGAAGGGGGGAAAGGTGCCTACTGACTGGAGGAAATGTCACCTCGTGAAACTACCAAAGAAGGGCGACTTAGGACTCTGCAAGAACTGGTGGGAAATCATGCTCCTATCGACGCCATGTAAAATCCTGAGTCGCATCATCCTGGAGAGATTAAAGGACGCACTGGAGACAGAACTCCGACCAGAACAAGCTGGCTGCATTCAGGAAAGTCAGGCAAATCATGTACTGACCAAATTGCAACTCTACACATCGTCATTGAACAAAGCATGGAATGGCGATCAAACCTCTACGTCAACTTTATAGACTTTTACAAGGCCTTCGACAGCGTTGATCATGAAGTAATTTGGAAATTACTCGAGTACTATGGCGTACCCCAAATATTCATCAACTTTATTCAACAGTTGTACCACAACGGAACATGCCAAGTGATCCACAACGGAAAACTCAGCAAGGCGTTTGGAGTAAACACAGGAGTCAGACAAAGGTGCTTACTATCACCAATGATATTCCTAATTGTGGTGGACTGGATCATGCGTGAAGAACCTAGAAGATCTGGATTTCGCGGATGATTTATGCTTGATGTCACACACAATCGAAGACTTAGAGACAAGCGAAAACCGACAAACTGGTCGAAGAAGCAGCCGGCGAAGACAGGACTCCAGGTGAACATAGAAAAGACGGAGGTTATGAAAATAACCAACAACAACAACAACAACAACAGCAGAAACATCCAGTGCCAATCATCATCAACGGGAGGGGTTTGAAAGAGGTTACTTCATTCCCTTATCTAGAGAGCATTGTCTCAACTACAGGAGGAGCGGACGAGGATATCAAATCGAGAATCGGGAAGGTGAGTAACACATTCATCAACCTGAAACAAACAATCTGGAAATCTTCGTCACTCAGCCAGAATCACCAACAAAATTCGGACTTCAATACAAACGTAAAGTCAATCAGTTCTTCTATACGGATCAGAAACTTGGCGGGCGGGTCACAAAGAATATTTCCAAAAGGCTGCAGACCTTTATTAACAACTGTCTTCGCTCTGTACTGAAGATCAGATGGTCGAAAAGAATCACCAACAAGGAATTATGGGAACAAACAAAGCAAGGACCAGTCACCCAACAAATATGCAGGAGAAAGGGGATTGAGATGGATTGGACACTCGCTGAGGAGACCACTGGGTGACATCGCGCGCCAAGCCCTCGAGTGGAACCCGAAAGGGAAGCGGCGTGTGGGACGTCCAAGAGTGACATGGAGAAGATCGTGTTAAGAGGAGTTGAAAGAATATGGACTAACATGGATGCAGGCAAAAAGTACAGCAGAAGCAAATGGAGACGTGCAGTTGAAGCCCTATGTTCCACTAGGAACCCAAGGGAGCAATAATAATAATTATTATTATGAACAGCAATAATGAATTGTGTGTGTTCGAAACTGTGTCATCCAGTAAATACTAAAAATATTGTTTCACTCACTGTGTGATACATTTAATAAACAAACTAATGTGGAAGAAGACATTGAGTTTGAAGCGAAGAAATTAGTAAGAAAAAAACACCAAAGAAATTCTCTTCAAAAAGCATCTGGCGTTTTGATCACAAACAAGAGTGTGAATCTCATGAAGAACCCGTTTCAATTCAACAGACGCCTTCTTCATCACACAAACTGTATATAATAAAATGTGTAACATTCATCGTTTAAATTCTATGAGCCGACTTAATCGAAAAAAAAAAAGAAAAAATGAGAAATAATGAATTTAGAAACACATAAAGTGTTTAGATGACGAAAACATACCTACCCACCTACATACCTACCTGTTTAGTACCACTACAACCACCAGTCGGTTTCAGGAGACAACTCAATTCAGCGATTAATTTTGCATTATCCTTTTGTAATCGATGATAGGCAGCTTCAATGTTGACATTGTTTATCTGGAGAGGATAATTGATTTGTTGTTGTTGTTGAAATGACAAAGTGGAGAAAAAAGAAGGATTACAGACACATATTTTAGCAGGTGATATATATATTAACGATATGATTTCATACATATATGGAACTGTAAAGTTAATTCACAATGCTATTTTAACTGAGACGACTGAACAAATACTCATTAAGTGAAGTCTAAAGTCTGGCCATTGAGAATGGGAGACAAGAAAAGGCTGGCTAGCTGTCTTTGATCATAGGTGCCTGCGCTCTATCTGACGTGTCAGGTGGTGGTAAAATAAGGTGAGCAATATTGAGGTTAGGCGTCGAGTTCTAGGGAAGCATGGGAAATCAATCGACGAGGCTGTGAAATTACATCGACTGAGATGGTTAGGACATGTGTTACGTATGTCTAGTCAACGCCTTCCTCGACAATGGGCAATGTTAGCTGGCATATGCAACGTCAGGCTGGAAAGGAACTAGCGAAGGTCAAACAAAAACAAGGCACCAGTCAATGAAATCCACAATAGTTAGTTTAAGACAGCCACGTATGAAGGTGTAGACTTCCTGGTTGGGGTCCTCAGGACCAATGGCTGGTGACAATCGCTAATATGGCCCAAAATCGTTCTTAATGAAGCAGATGTATCCACTCCTTGTGACCTATGATTTCCAATGAAACTGTTTTGTTTTTCGTTCGTCATTACTATTTCTTTGTCTCACACCTCCTCTGTTTACTGTCTCTTCTATGCAGTTTTTTTCTACTTTCTTCTCTTGCTTTGTGTGTTACAAGGAGTGGAGTGTGGCGACTTGAACTGGTGCACATCGGTGCAAAGTTCTATGTCGAAAACAGACAGACAGACAGACAGACTAAAGTCTAATACTACTGTGGTGAGGGCTGTCTGCTAGCTAACCAAAAATTGGTAGACATTAATTCACGTCAACAATGTTTATGTCCCCCGGATATTGGTCATGAGAAGAGAACAAGAACAAAGACTGACTGACTCAACAACCAATCACAGCATAGCACGCTCTGTTTGCGTAGGCGGATACAATTAGCAGATAGCGGATAGGTAATCTGACCTTTAAGAAACGGTCACAAAGAGATGAAACAACCAATCAGAAGGCTGTGTTTGTCTCCTAACAATAATCAATAATAATAATAATGTGCATGAAAATCTATAAATATGTGTTGATTTCGTAAATAAACGTTCTGTTGCCTGACTATGGACTTCTGTTGTTACAAAAATAGGCATTTTGTGTGAGAAAAAACACTCTAAAACAACTTGTATCATACGGTATTGTTGAGGATCAAACAACATAACGTACGCAACGCACGTTGACGATACATTTGTAATAATTAAGAAAAATGTGATTTAGAATAAACCCACAAATTAATAAACGACATATTTGAAGACATCAAATTCACCACGAGAGAAGAAGAATTAGATAACAAAATCCCATTTCTAGATGTCTTAATCAGGAGAACCAACGCAGGAAATTTAGAAACACAAGTATATAGAAAATCAACGCACACACACACACAGAGATTAAATACTCAAGAGGTGGCTCTCGTAGCCCATGTGGTCTAGTGGATAACGCTTTGGCGTTTGAAACTATGGGTACTGGGTTCGAGCCTCGGTGGGAACATCATCACTCACTGAGAAATGCAGTTACATCCAGCTGACGAGTCCGAAATAGGACGAAATGCGCATCCTGGATTCCACTGCTAGCCACCATCCACTAATTGTATACTCAACTATACTAGCAATAATCCAATTACTCACTCACAAAAGAAACTGTGTGCAGACATTGTTCAAAGGATGGTTCAAACACACTGTAGCACTACGCCAGCGTTGAAAAGAATTGAAGAAAAACACCTACCAACCGAGGGTCTTCAAAAAGAATGGTTATCCTCACAAAATTTCATCACAAGTGTTTAAAATCTAATCACAACACCAACAAGGAACCATCATCAAAGACCACAAGGAAATTCATCCTACCATATATAAAAGCGAAAATATCTCCGAAATAACAGCTAGAATATTGAAACAGTTTGAAATAGATATAGCACACAAGCCAGCCAGCTAGTCAGTCAAATCACTTAATTCGATATTGTGCAAATCGAAAGACATATCCAACAGAACAAAAATGATAAAATTAATACCATTTACAAAATAAATTGCATGTGTGAACTGTAACAGACATTACATCGGTGGTCGTAGTGGCCGTCCCCAGAGCGTCGAATCAGAATCCAAGAATACAAATCAGCTGTGAAGAGACATGATTATATATATATATATATATATATATATATATATATATATATATATAATGTTCCTGTTTCATATCAATGAAGGCATATAGATAATTATGGACATCAGTTTGATAACTGGATACTATGGAAAACTTAGACAGAGGAAACACCAAAAGTGTCAGGGAATTCCTAGAAGCATGTTACTCACTCAAACGAATATTCAATTAACAAACACGTTGATATAGACCAATTATACCAACCAATAAAAAGCAGATCATTTGACGAGAAAGTTTAAAATCCAAGTCAATAGAAAATGATGAATACATATGTAAAGATAGTTACCGGGAGACACAATTCTACGACCACTCATGAAAATTTTAAATCATTTCACTTTATGCTGAAAATTGCGCTGAAGGGGGATGTTGTCCAACAGGGGGGACGACGAAAGCTCCGCAACTAAACCAACCAGCTCAGAGAATAGTATTAATTGCAAATCATCTACCTGAGCTACAAATCTTCTCTATTACAACTTTAACTTAGTAGACATAAGAAAAAAGAAATACTTTCGTGAAAGAATATTTTGCATTTTTTATCCACAATAGCAGGAAATTCACCTCTACCACCTCATGGAAGGGATACATACGACTTTCTCCTGGATTGCAGATAAAGACTGCTGGCGAAGAGTGCCGAGGTCTAAGGCTTCCTCCTGACCAACAGTTGTTACCTTGACGCGGTGGTGATCGGGCTTGCACATCGCAATGACCCAACAAGCTACACTGGCTGGAACCAATGTTCCTGTAGGTCCTACCATGCCAGGAAGGTTGTTAGGATAGCGATTAGACTAAAAGCAGTCATTAGCATAGTGTGAGAAAGATTCTTACACTGTGCTGCGGGTCTGTGAGCGAAGTTGTACTGCTGGGGAACAGGGGTGTAACAGCCACAGTGAGGTGTTTCCCTCAGATGACCAGCATACCAGCCAGCCAGCCAGCTATGCTGTTTCTCCACTCTGCTTGAGAGAGAGGGTTAGAAAAGGTCGACCCCGAATATTGTACATCCCGACTTACCCCACCTACGGTGATCCGTAACCGGCGGTAAGTTTACTAATACGGAACCAATCCCAAAAACGAGTTCATACAAGCCGTGTGTGACCGGCCTGGCTCAAGCATTTGTGTCCCCTGGACTCTGCGGCCACGCAACACTAACCCTCTCTCTGTTTCAGGTACCCGAAGAATCAAGCAACTTTCACAATGGTGTGGGCAGCCGGAAAGTAACAATCACCTACACACTTCTCTACCCACATCACCTCCACCATCTTATTCCCCTACTACAGTTAGTACTATTCAAGTTAGTGAGGCACCATCACTTCACTCTGTGATCATAAATAACGATGACAGCCATGGAAACACCCCAGATAGCCTTTTAAAAAGCCGCGTCGCCAACTTCATATAGGAGCATTTAACGTCAGGAGCCTCTCAAGGCTTCCTACCAATTGCCTCTAACCATCTAAGAATAATAATCCGGTGTGTACCATTGATAGCGAACCACCTAGCATGGTGGTTAAATGGCAAACTTGACTGGCAGAACTCATTCTGCACCAAATGAAGAATTAAACGCGTGGCATTAGTTATTCCCAAGTGCCCAGTTTTCTATATTTTTGGTTAGCAAAGGTTAGTCATGTTTTTATGAGTTGTTCACGGATTGATATAAGTTAGAGAAGCATTGAAAACCAGCTGGTGGTACTGGACAGCTGTTTCATCAGCCTAGTTTGGGAATCATCGGCAGTACGTACCCACTGGGGTCGCGCTAAATCAAGAATTGGTAGAAGTTAGAATTCATGCGGTGGCCATTGAATCGAGTCCCATTGGCTGAATGGTATACGAGCCAACCAGCTTGCCTTGTAACCGGAAGGTCCTGGGTTCGAATCCCGGTGCATTGGGTGCGTATTGCTGATGATTCCCAAACTAAGCTGATGAAACAGCTGTCTAGCAGTACTCCCTGTTGGATTTCAATGCTTCTCTAACTGATATCAATCCGTGATCAACTCGTAAAATATAATATATATATATATATATATATCAGTTGTATTTTTTATTCCCCGTTGACAGATTCGGACGAAATGTTTTCTTTCTCTTAGCATTATAGTTCCTAGTAGGAACACTTCAACGATGTCTAAAAGTCCACCTCATGCTATTTGATTGATGATGACTAGCAATGAGACGCGAGACGAGCATCTCGTCGTATTTAAAACTTGTCTTCCGGATGTATCTCGGCAAGTAAAGGTATCTGCGGATACTGCGGATACACATACAGGTATGACTGAAATCGATGGCGAAAGTGTTGCAACCTCTACACCTCTATCTTTCACTTTTTAAAAGTAATCTGTAACGAATGCACGTTTACTGTGTTGTTCATCAGCCATCTTACTTTAATTGGTGTATGATGACTAGCAGTGGAATCCAATCCAGGATAATGCGCATTTCGTCCTGTTTGGGACTCATGGTCAGATGGATGTACCTGCATTCCACAGTGAGTCAGTGATGATGTTCCCACCATGGAGGCTCGAATCCAGTGCCCATAGTTTTAAACACTAGCAGCCAAAGCCTTATCCACCAGGACATTTGGGCGACGAGTCATATAAGTTATTTAATTCAATTTTAGATTTTCCCGTCCATTAAGTGATTGGACCGAAGTGCTAGGTCTCAGGTTGACTTGTCTGTTGGCTTCTTGTACAGATGCTTCGACGGTGTCCGGGCATGTAATTAGAATTTAATTGGTGAATAATGGCTAGCAGTGAAATCTAGGATGCGCATTTCGGCCTGTTTGGAACTTGTCAGTTGGCTGGATGTACCTGCATTCCTCAGTGAGTCAGTGATGATGTTCACACCGAGGCTAGTCACCATACACCAATTAAAAAATTTTAATTACATGCCCAGACATCGTCGTCGAAGCATCTGCACAAGAAGCCAACAGACATGTCAACTTGAGGCCGAGCACTTCGGTTCAATCAATTAATGGGCAGGAAAATCTAAAATTGAATAAAATAACCATCTTACTTGTCTTTCCCGTACATTTTTCTGTCTTATCATATTATGTGGAGTATCTCATGATACCCATATTGAACAAAATCGACTTTAAATAATCATAAAAATAATAATAATATGACTTTATTGAATAGTTGAGTATTATCAGCAGACTGACTGACTACATTGGAACAGTAAAGCGGAAGTCTCTGGAACGACGAGATAAGTCGACGCGTCATAAAGTTTATGAGTGTAACGAGATTATATTTACGTGGCCACATTACTTCGCTCTCTAATAACTCTAATATTTTGTTTAGGGCTCATTTTAAAACAAGATATAAAAATGTGATGGCAAAAAATGAAACGGTGCCATTAGAGACTGACTTACTGCTGATATATATTCATGAAGAATACCTAGGTGGTTCAGAAGAATTTAATTCGCCTAAAAATCTCCCCATTATGTGTTAGAAAGTACATATCTATGAGCATTTACTCTTTTACCTGCTCCGGTGGAGCTGATTATATTGGACGACGTTGTAAGCGTACTCTCCATAAACGGGTAGCTGAACACACACTATCCGGTTTGGTTAATGAAAGGCAAACGTAGAACTGCAAAGTCGTCTATTTGTGATCACCTGTTAGATAGAGTCTCGTCATTTAGCCCCATGTGATTCATCCTTCAAGGTTATCTACATGGCAAAATCGGATCGCTCGAAAAGTTTACGTTTTCTTCACTTATGCATAGCTAGCCGAAGCTTTAGCTATAAACATGAACAGAAACCTAAATTATGTGTTCAAAAATGTATTGTCAAACCCCTTTCTTTACCTTGGGGTCATAGTAATTAATGTTGTTTCTAGTTTTTATTTTATTTTACCACCTGAATTCATTCCACTTCACTTCACATCTTTATTCTTATCGTAGTCGTACTCCTAGCGTCGGTGGTATAGCGGTTAGGACGCTCGCCGACGATGCACATGATCCGGAATTCGATCCCCGGCCAACGCACTCCTTTACCTCGCTATGCCAGAAATAATGCTGGTAAAGAGGAAGGGTTGGGCATGAGGCTAGCAACCCCATCCTCTAAAATAAACACTGCTACAGAAACTTCAAGCCACTAGCTTGAAGCCCTATGTTCCACTGGGGAACGTGAAGGAAAAATTATTTATTATTTAATCGTACGCCTAATTTTTAAAAATTTTTAGACAACGCTTGACAAATACTTTCGGTATCACTTTACTTGTAAAGCAATCTTTAATAATTTTGTAATTCATCCACTTCAAGTCTACCCCTTATAACATTTTAATTATCGCTATTCTTATCATTTATATATATGTATGTTAACTCAGTAATTATTTAGTGCCACTAAATAACTTTTTTTCTGTAATATAAATACGACTACTGTACAGTTGGCTTGAAAATGAAGTCATTGAATGGAGAAGTTTCTTCGCTGAACAAACAAAAATAAACTGTGTTTTTACTTATGAATACATGGGTATTTTTCGTGATTTAAAATTAAAAAAAAAGGTGAATTGAGATGTTTAGCTACAACATAAGGCGATACAACTCCGAATCCAATTTCACGTTAATTTTGCTTAATATATATATACGTACGAAGGGAAATAATATTTCAACATGGAGTAGTACATACAGAAATATCAGTACACAGGGTATGTCATGTCTTTGATCAATGATAGTTAGTACACTAAAACTTGAACAAAATATGAGCCAATATCAACCACACAAAAAGAGAATTGGAGGATCTGGACTTCGCCGATGTGATATATATGTCTGATTTGCCACAAACTGCTAGAAGATATGCAAGTGATGAAAAGTAACAAGTTGGCGATAGAAGAAGCATCCAGAGAAGATAGGACTTCCTTCAGGTGAACATAGAGAAAACAGACGTGATGAAAATTCCTGGACAACACCAACAGCAGCAACAACAACAACACCAACAGACAACATTCAGCCAGCATAAATCGGAGGAACTCGAAAGAAACAACTTCCTTTACCTACCTGGAAAGCATCGTTTCAACTACAGAGGGAGGGAACTGACGAGAATATCAAAGCAGCGAGGACCGGGAAAGCAAGGCAAGCTTTCATTACTCTCAAGTCCGTGTGGAGTCAGTCAGTGCTACTCACCATACGGATCAGAGAATTGGCCAGCGCGTCATAAACAGCACCTCAAACAAACTACACACCTTCATCAACAGCTAGTTGTCTTCGCTCAATGCCACTATTCAAGACCAGATGGTCGGCTGGCTAGAAAAGATCACCAACACGGAGGGGTCTCTGGCAATGAGCGAACCAGCCAACCCAGAAGGAACCGATTGTGCAACAAATATATCCAGGAAGAAATGGAGGTGGATTGGATTGTGGCCATACTCAGAGGCAACAAACCATCAAGTGAGGCACATCACTAGACAAGCCATTGCTCGAGTGGAACCCAACGGAAAGGGAAGCAGCGGCGAATTGATCGTCCATGGGTGAGGATAACTTGGAGTGGAGCGGGTGATGTGAAGGGGAGGAGATGATGAAAGCATGTGAGTAGACTTGGAGCCAGCCAGGTGATGAAAACTTTAGCAAAGAACCTAAGGCAATGGAGACTTAGGCGGCTGCTGTAGCCCTATATTCCTCTAGGAATTAAAAGAAACAATAATAATAATAGTAATAATAATAACCAACCTTTACATTGAAACGGCTGTCAAATATCACATTGTGAGTATTATCCATTTGATAAACTATTGCAGATACATTGATAGCTAAAATAGAGTCAGTAGAATGCCTTGAATCATTTTTGACCAGATTTTGTTTTTTAACAGGTTTTTTTGATAACGTCATTATTGATGAGCTCCCTTCGTTTTCCCCTGAAAATTTTAAAGATAATTACGGATTCATATCTTATACATAGAAAATGTACCAACCTATATGGTCCGACTCATCATGATTGTACGAAATCTCATGATCATTTATGCCAGAGATATCCTCCTCATCATCATCACCTGCACTGCTATTCAATAAGACTGAAGCAGAATTCGGCAACCGTGTCAACGATGAAGAATGCGATACTAATCCAGATAAGAAAGGGCTATTGGTTGAATTAGCTATAAAATAAGAGAAGTTCAGAATTCAGTCAGATTCAATAAAAAAAAACTTTAAAAATAGGAATAAATATATACACATCAAATTCTGTCTGTCTGTTTTCCACGTAGAACTTAGCACCGATATGCACCAGTTCAAGCCGCCACACTCCACTCCTTGTAACACACAAAGCAAGAGAAGAAAGTAGAAAAAACTGCATAGAAGAGACAGTAAACAGAGGTGTGAGACAAAGAAATAGTAATGACGAACGAAGAACAAAATAGTTTCATTGGAAATCATAAGTCACAAGGAGTGGATGCATCTGAGCCAGCCAGCCAGTCATTGACAACGATCACTTTGAGCCAGCCATATCACCAATTGTTTCCCCAGCCATCATTGGTTTTTACCGTCATCCCGAGGACCCCAACCAGTCACAGTCATGAAGTCTACACCTTCCTACGTGACTGGCTGGCTGGATAGCTTAAACTAGCTGTTGTAGATTTCATTGACTGGTGAAAAAGCCATGATTTGGTTTGACCGCCGCTAGCTCTCTCTTTTCCAGCCTGACCAATCCTATGTCAGACAGCTAACATTGCCCATTGTCGAGGAAGGCGATGACCAGGCGTGCATGCGTAACCATCTCAGTCGATGTGATTTCACAACCTCGTCGATTGATTTCCCCCCCCCACCTACCCAGCACTCGACCGACGCCTAACCTCAATATTTCTCACCTTATTATATCACTTAACACATACGGGAGATAGAACCTAGACAGGCACCTATGATCAAAGACAGGCACCTATGATCAAAGACAGGCACCTATGATCAAAGACAGCCAGCTAGGCTTTTCATGTCTTCCACCTTCAATGGCTAGGTCTCACAGCCAGCCAGCCATAAAGGAGGACGGAGCGGACTCCTGAGCAGTACACCCGCCGCCCTTTGGTCAATAGCCAGTCGGATATCACGCCTACTAAGACAGAGACGGCGTAAACTGGTGGGCGTATGCGAAAATACCCCCTCTGTATCCGTACTCATCTGAGATTTTGTCAGAGATCAATCCGTTGGCACTGGCTGATGGTACTTCCCAAATAAGTGAAGCGGTCAACGTGCTCCACCAACCACTTCACTCCGTATTTCTAAACTAGAAGTCAGTGTAGTCCAGTCCAGTCCTGTAACATCATCTTACATTTGACAGCAGCACGAGCGAATCGCTCACATGCCAAACATTCGTGTTCAGAAGACTCAGCTGCATTTTGTCAGCGCCCTCGCCTAGGATGTCTCAAATTAGTCTTCATTGAAAATGAAATACAAGTTAAGATTTTTAAAAAATGACAAGGAAATGATGCATAAGAAAGACAATAATTAACATCAATCTGGACAATCTAATCTCACGTAGGGATAACCCTGGCGGCGGGTTAAACGTAACAGTAAATTGCTTTCGTACACCACCGGGAGAGGGGAGCTGATTTCAAGGGGTGGCTATCACCACCACCTTACACTATATTTCAATAAGCGCCTCGGACAGTTTTAAAGACGGTCTCCTAAAAGCTGCTTCTAAATTTATCTTGTCATGCATATCAGGTGTGTTTTGCTACCGGCGAGTTTGACAGCAAACTACGTGAGTCTGAAGGCACTTCACAGTTCAACTATTTTTCAAGCCATTTAGTTATGTATGCATGTATATTCTCCCACCCTTGATTACATAAACATAACAAATGGCACAATTATTACTTGCTTTTAGTTTAAAACAGGTGTGTAGTAGTATTATAGACTGATGACCCCTCCCTCCACCTGTAGGGTGAGGTCAGTCATGAATCTTGAACTATTTCAAAACTATTCGTTGTCTTTTGGATCAAAATTATCGCCTGACTTATTACAAGAGATCTGCGTTCACCCCATCTTCAATTCCTATTGTAACAGTGTGTCACACACTAAATCAATCCACTTTAGTAGCACAGATTCCTCTACAACCCTCATCCTCCTCACTTTGTGTTTCGCACGTCGACAGTAACCCCGCCCCGCCCCCCCCTCTAGTTTAATCTTACTATCATTGTCATTCTTATGAGTATACTATTCTTCAAAAGCCTAATGATTGGAATGGATACTTCTAATCTCATCTCTCAAACCTCTATAGTGAGTTAAGTGAAGCGTTTAAAAAATTCTCAATGAATTACGATCCAGTTCCAGACTGTGATTAAAATTATTAAAATCAAACGCTTTTTATTCTCAAATTCAGATAGCCGCACTTACTTCTCACAAATCTGTTTCCGATCGCTTAAAAAACACAATGCCACCAGAGTCAGTCACTATGGTCATTCATAATGGTCAATCAATCAATCTACGGGAAACAAACTGCAACCACCACAGTATAAACACGTCAGTATAATCAATATGAACTAATTGACCTTAGCTGCTGTTACCTCAAAAACAACAGACTTTTATATGTGTGGAGAGAACAATCAACTTACTGGTAATTTTGTGCTGCGTGCTTAATGGCTCAGATAAACGCATAAAATTTTGGTTAGGGACCTCGTCGAATAGGTCTTGTGTGATGTGACCCAAAGATTTTCCTCCACGGTTCTGTGAAAAATGTTAATGACATTTGCATCAATTACAACACAACTAAAATTAACTAATTACCATTACTAAAGCAACTTTGGGATAAAACAAGAACTTTAAGAGAAAAAAAACAATACTAACTTTAAGAGATGACAATTTACATTTTGTAACAGCACAAACGTAAAACAGGAGGGAGAAGTGCGCTGTGCAACAAAATAAACACCCTGTGAAAGTCAGTCAGTCAGTCGGGTATTTCACTGACAACAAAGATAACAACAAGCCAAGACCACCTTACGGAGGACTTGGGTTATACACCCCCAGAAACATTAGTAGTTATGCAGATTTATATGTGGCTTAATGTTAACTTAGTTGTAATATATATTTTAATCCAAGTAGTAATAAGATTTTTCATAAGAACTAATAATACTTCCGTCAAATATATTCGTCCTTTCACTTGCTAACACTTTTCTTGGTGCAGCTTCCAACTAGACACCAACCTGTGCGCTGCTGTTAAAGCTCGCATTCCCTTCCCTGTTGGCTAATATTATAAAACATTGGTGACACTGCGAGGACAAACTGTGACCATCGCTATCATTTCAGAAGCGGTATGTACAGTCAGTTGGTAGTAGTTAGATTTATCTTTTAACACCAAGTATCCCGTAAACCTCTTCTTTTTGCTAAGTTACTTAAAAAGAGGAAAAGCAGGCTTTAATCATACAGTATTTTGCTCTCTATACTATATGGGGAGCCAAGCAGTACGTAAAACATAATTCACTGGCGACAAAATTGACTGCAAAGACGGGTTGCATTATCAAGTAGATTTACAACACACAATTTTGTGACGGTAATTAAGACGCCTATGACGATTTCGATGACATGTAATCCCGGTTTTCACTCAAGTGTGTTAAACATTTAAATTTCCACTTAAACACTATTAGTGTCTAGTGGATTATCCTCAGGACATCCACTGCATCCATAATCAAGATTAGCAACGATAATAATAATAATAATGGAAAAAAAATAACAGGTGTCACAACAGAAACAAATAATATGCGAAATCAAATTGAAAAACTCAAACACAAACTCAAAAGTGATTTGGTCAACGACAAAGATTATGTCATTGTTATTGAAACATCCAAAAACGCTAGAGAATCAGCATTAAAAAATCAAAAACCACACGGATCAAAAACTTTAACAAACTAATGGACGAAACGAACACAATAAATGAAGAAATTGACGACGCCAACGTTTCATCTTCTATTGACAGAACAGAATGGGTCATCAACCTCTTCTCATCAAGGGAACTAAGCTCTAGTGAGATAAAAGTACTTGAGAAAGGACTCAATTTCCACAGATAGTAAATTAAAATCAGAGGATGTTATTCCTAACACAGAAGTAGCAATAAGTTCAAGACGACAGCAGAATAGGTTCGAGAACAATGTGGATTAACACTGAAAAATCAAACCTAACAACATCGGAAAGGCTACCTCTAATTCGTCTAAAACAGGATAAAAACGTCATCGCAAAAGCAGATAAAGGAAACTCCACAGTATAGTTTTGGATAAATCTGACTATATCAAGAAAGTCAATGAACATATTAAGACAAGTCCATCCATATGAGGAAATTAACAAGCCTATAAATACAATAATGAATATGATTAGGAAATCTACAGTAGAATTAATAAGCAGAATGAAGCCGTCACCGGGTGGAGTGTCTAAGTGGTTTAATTTAATGCCTAAAACTAATAATGCTAGTAGAATACGGTACTATTAGAATACATAAGCCAGGTTACCCCCATACACTCTATAATCAACATAAGCAACGATAATAATGATGGCGATTAACAGATATCAAGACAGAAACAATAAAACTGAATCAGATCACCTTAAGCATTTGACTTTAAACTAAATTTTTAATAATAACATAATAATAATAACAGCTTTATTCCAAACAGTACTTGTGGTACAGGTATGGAATTTTCAGCGTGCATTACAATATTGCATCTAATTACCTCATAAATCTTATAAGATCTCAAAATCAAAATGCAACAACCAAAAAAGAAAAAATAGATAAATAAAAAGAAATTAAAAGAACAGAGTTGCGTTTACATTTTAAACAATGCACCACAGGATATGAAATATAAAATTAGTGTATGGTAGAAGATGTGAACAACAATATAATAGTAAGGAAGAAAGGAAAACAAAAACAACTAATGGGACTATTTGTTAGACTGGCGCAGTAAGTTGACCGTGTCATACCTAACGGATTTCTCATCACGCAAAACAGCTGTGCCAGATATGGTATTGTGAAGTTTTTGTATTTGTTAGTCCTAGCATATAGTCTCCTATAGCTGCTTCTAGTTCTACCACGTGAAATGCAAGGAGAGAGCTGAGTATAGAGAGGATCCTCGGGGTCTGACAATATTGTATTCGCTAGTTTCTTACATGACATTATATGTCTATCCACAATAGTGTTCACCAGTTGGTTTAACGATATCCCACTTGCCCTCCCTACTAACGGCTTTTAGTGCCTGCCCTTCTCAGCAAAGCAAAGTGCTTCTTAAGTAGTCCAGGAAAGATTAATGGGGAGCAGTAAACAGGGCTGGGGAGAATACAAGAATTGACAAACTGAGAAAGCAAAGATTGCTTTATGCCAGACTGCCTTAACTTCCTAATGTAGAACGTTAAGCGAAACATCTTTCTAGTAACTATCAAGATGTGGGAGGACCAGGAAAGATCGGCAAAAAACTCAGCCCAAGGTACTTGACATTAGATGTATTTTCAACCTCTATGCCGGCAATGATAGTGGGGCCATGTGAGCTAGCTAGTTGTTGTAGGTCACGTTTTCATCTGAAAGTGAAATTGACTACCTGACATTTACACGGATTAAGCTTAAGGCCGTTTGAAGAGGACCATTGACTAATTTCCGACAGAAAGTTATTTAATTTGGAACAATCTGACCGAGAGTTGACAGGCATAGAAACAGAGAGGTCATCAGCATACTTAACAAAAGTGGCTAAATCAGAATGGGGCAAGTCATGCAAGAAAAAAAGAAAACAGAAAAGGAGAAAGAACAGCAGATGCAGACTCTCTAAAGTTAACAAATATAAGCATACTTCAGCATGTTCGGAGAGGAATTTAAATCACAAGTAGAACTCTATATGCATGGCATCATGTAGTCCTCAACCGAGTTGTAGTCACAGACAATCGAAAAACAACAAGACGACGAAGATGAAAACGTTAATGCATAGGAATCATTACAATATTGTAGTCATTCCCGGTAAAGACATCAGAAAACGGCAGATAGATTCAGTAGATATATTCATCAAAAAGCTGCAATCGACTCCTCACAGTACATATACAGACTCAATGAATATTACCCAAAGTTTCACGAAGCAGAGTTGACATAACTGGTCCAGTCTCTCAAAAACCATCTCTGTCCTCACCCTTTTTCACAATGGAATAGACAAGCCAAATATAAATGGATATCTCAGTCTGAACACTATCTATCCATATCGATTACCTCTAAAAGGCTATCAAGGTATTACGTCCGCCCGCATATGGCGTAATGTAGTCTCGCAAAAGGCCAGATAAGGATAACACATCGGCTACACTGCCCACGAAGGACAGAAAGACAACTACACCACAGAGCAAAAAAGCCACGGCAAGCAAACCTGATCTCTCTGGTTGGTAACTCATTCTCCACAAAGTGAAAGAGTCACTGGCCCCCAATCCCAAAGCCAGATTCGAGCATGACCTTAACTTGGTTAAGCCCCTTTTAGACAAACTACTGCCATAAACAGTATCAGGCATTACTATACACAACGTATATGGAATAGGCCAAAAGCCTGACCCTACAGTAAGTCAGCCTGTACGTCTCCTCAAAGTCGTACTAAACTCGAAAGAAGAGAGGGATGCCATTCTAAGCAACTCTCGAACTCTTAAAGTATCAGGGATGTGTCCGCGCCAACTTAAGCCTAGCAGGCCGTGCCAAAAGACAGTCTGCGCCTGAGACGCGGTGGCTGCACGTAGTTTCAGGTCCTTATAGGCGATTCACAGAGCCTTTACTAGAATCTCCAGAGAGAGGTTCACCTCCGTATATACATCTCTGGTGAGGTCAAGACTGGAAAACTGCATCCAGGCAGCCAGCCAGTCCTTGTCTAAAACGGGACTCACAAATTCTAGAAAGGGTCCAAAGGAAGGTAACACGTATGGTCCACAGCATGACTAACTTATCATACGAGGAAAGACTAGACAGTTTATATCTCTGCCTATCATACCGTAGGCAGAGAGGAAATTTAATCACAATGTATAGTTTTAAATAATGACTACGGACCTGACCTATTCTCTCTTTTCCTTCCTACCACGTAGTCGGAACACCTTAGAGGACATAGCAGGAGAGTTCAAAAGCCAAGAAGATATCATATTGCTGTCGAGTACTGGTTCTCACATCGAGTCATAAACTCTTGGAACCGACTCCCAGAAGAAGTGGTGTCTGCAAACCCAACTGATTCATTCAAGAAGGGTTTGAACAACCACAGAAATTTACTAGAAAAGGATTAACATAGACTTTAAGCCTTCCATCCTCAACCAATAAATCTGAATCTGAACAACAAATTCTTGTATATGGGATTACCATACACTGCATATATGATGCTGAATCTCAAAGGTAGTAAGCGATCGGTGCCCGGTTATCGCTTCAAGACAAATATTGTGACAGTTATTCCTTCAAACGGTAGTGGTTATTCATAGCGAGACTTTAATGGTCATCTATATAAAAAAAGCATCAGAAGTTCCAGTGGAGATTGTACGGCCGTGACCAAGTGACCGTGAACAGCTAATCATAGTGATAAAATCGACAGAGATCAAGAAAGCAGGACTTAATGAATTCATCAAAATTTCTGCAGAACCCTTTAGCTGCATGCGCTACACATTTCCAGAAGTATACATTCCCTTGTTTTAAATTCGTATCGGAAATAAATGTTTCCAATTATGGTAAAGCGGGTATATTTCTTAGTAAACTTCCCCCTTACAAAATTCTGAAAATTACAAAGACTTACCAAACAACTATACTGAAATCCATGTGCACAGTCCACTGAACTCGCTGAATTAAGTTTTTCAGAAATAGAAAAGATGCAAACTTACACTGGTCTACTTTTAATTTGGATGGGTCTTCATTTTCTTTCAACAAATCCTGGAAATCTGAGAAAACTAAATAACAAATGGTAGGGAAAATACCATCTGCTTGGGTAAAAGATCCTGGCTTTGTTTCAAAGTCTGAGGCTTCAAAACTGGAATACACCGACATATCGAGAGCCGGCGATGCAATTTGAGTGTTAACTTCAGACCCATTGATATGTATATCCCCAGGTTTATATTCAGCAACACGATAAGAAACAGGAGGTGGGGGATCAGATTCAGAAGAAGGTATAAAATTAGAGGAACCATCACATCCAGAAAACTGCGACTCTGTCAAATCCATTTCGAGTTAACCGCACTGCACGAAATAGTGTTTTACCGATATGCGATTTCCGGCTGGCATAATTCAGCAAGTTGGTCTGTATTTCACTTGGTAAACGTTTTGATTTGAATAATATATTTATTTAAATCGTATCATATGTAATTTGGATTGATAGAAAATCTGGTAAGCCTAGAGGCCATCTTGGTGTAAGCATCATATGGTCTGACTGCGATACGCTCTTAGCATATCAGTTACAAGTGTTTCTGTGACAGGTGAACTGTCCAAAATATAGCCATAGTGATCAGGATGGAATAATCGAAGGGTGATATCACCTACTTGGATAGTCTACTTAATGTAAGAGCTTCACTTCACAGCATGTCATCATTCTATGAATACTACTGCATATGTCTCGGGATTTCCATACAGCCAATTATCATGTGAAGCAGAACGTTATTCGACATATGAATTCTGTCAGTACATAGAAATCGCCTACTAATTCCAAAAGAAACTCCATAAGGACGGAAGTTATGATGTAGGTCCACTATTTCTATGTGTGTATGGACGGATATTATCGGAAGTTGAAGGAGATTTGTTATATAACTGCAATGGTCGGAGTGAAGTAACCTGCAGATTCGTTGCCTAAACCGCATACTATAGCATATTATGCAGTACATACGTGTTTATTCTATCAACAGAAAAATTGCAGAGTACCCCGCGCGCGCTCCAACAAAACCAAAAGTAAACGCTCAAGACGTTATAAGACCTCGAAAGCGTCACCAACGAAGGGATACGAATGTCAGAGGTGTTGTGTCATCGTTTCTAAAGCTGACTCAGCTTTTGAATGCAACTTTTGCAAACGATGGGTAAACCGCGCTGTGACAAAGGGGTGCCGAAAGCATACCACGAGTATATGCAAAATAACCCATGCCCATGATTTTGGTACATTTGTCCACTTTGTCGCCCTGCCACAGTCCCACACAGCGTGTTTGCGGATAGCAGAAACAACACGCCACTCTTGTGTCTCAACACAGTCTCATGCAGCTCCCCACCACACTACCAAAACTTGGTACAGACAGAAAGGACACTCCATTCGAACTCACTGGAAATGCCAGTCTTCACAAGGTCAAGAGTCCCAAGGTTGCGCCCACATCAGGGAAAGATAGAATTGCCAAGGCGCCACCTGCATCCACTAGCAAGCTTGGCAACACATCAAAGACTGGTGTCAATGTAGTTGAAGATTGAACGATCAATTCATGGTTGTTTCCTCAAAACCAACTTCCCAAATTTTCGCGGAGGCATCAATACACCAGTCATCGTCTCATCGGTCGCTGTTCAGAAAGAAGTCAGGAGACAACCGTCAGAAGTAATGTTGTGATTTATTATTGTAATATTTGTTCATAGACCTTAGTTGTAAAGCTTAATTTTAAAGTCGGCTATATGTTGGTGTTACGATAAAGAATTCTCGAGTCGCCAATCGGTGTTTTGGTTTTTGCGTCCGTTATTACTAAGCGTTTCTGAGAAACTCCAAGGAACAGCGTGAGACCCAGAGTAGCAAGAGCTGGGCATTGACGGTTTACGAGACGTGGCTGACATTCAGTTTTGCCTTCGTCGACTATTTAAACAACAATGTGGGTATTACTGGTACAGAAAGAAATGTAGGCACCACTACTTCATCGGAAGAGAACCCAGTGACTAGTCTGCGAATAGTCCCAACAATCGTACTAGGGAAGCTACAGAGACTCACATCTCGAAGGTATCCAAATTGTGACGACATCGGGCCCTGTGTTCTGAAACAGTGTGCAGAAGCTTAATGTAGGCCCTTATGTGACTTGTTCCAACACATGATGTATTCGGCGAAATCGCCAAGGGAGTGGAAAAAAAGCCATCCCTTCTCCTGGGTACAAGCAAAATGCCACTAGGTATACACCAGTAGCGCTACTCCAAGTGGTATCGAAAGTAATCGAAAGCGTAATTTATGATCACATTAGGGAGCCCCTTCACAGGACTAATAGAATCCACGAAGCCCAACACGGTTTCAGGAAAGGCAGATCCTGTGTAACAAACCTAATATCAGCTTGGGACGATTGAACATCATGCTGGGATATGAATGTTCCAGTCCATGTGGTCTTCCTGGACTTTGAAAGGGCCCTTGACACGGCTCACGATGACCTTCTCCCACACAAAATAAATCAGGCAGGTATAAATGGGTCTCTTCTGTAATTGAAGATGCCTGTAAACTGGCGTCTCTTATGTACAAAAATGAGAATATATATTATTATTAACGGTTGAAGGACTAACTGGCTGAAAAGAAATTTTTTAAGAATGGTCAATCGAGTCCGATCATCTTGGCACAGCTCGTCATTAGGAGGGTGATAGGGTTCTATCCTAGAGCCACTGTTGGCTTTGATTTTTGTCAATGACCTACCATGTCATCTAAGCTACTCCACTCTTCCTTACTATAAGGCTTCTGGAAGACTGGGTGGTGGCCAGTCGTATTACTTTCAACCTGATAAAGTTCAAAGTAGTGAAACTACGCACCTGTAGGCTGCAGAATTCAAGTTACACACTGTCCTGTACAACGTCGGAGCGTGACCTAAGTCCAGTTCTACTGGAAAAATGAACACCGGCGTAAAGATACGGGGTATGCAGTGAGGGCATATGCGATCATACACTATGCACACGGACATTTAGATGCACTCACTCCTGAGGTCTTTCTAAGGTTGTACAAAACATACGTCAAGCCCCACCTTGAAGTGTATAATATCATTACACTGCTTAGAAGAGACGCAAACTCCTTGGAGTGTCCAAAACCGGGCGACAAAAGGAGTGGTTGGTCTCCGAAACAAACCATGTGATGAACGGAGAAAGAAATAAGGTCTCCTCACGCTTAGGGGGAACTCAGTTGCTGCCTTTAAGAAAACAAATGACCAGACTCACCCAAACAAAGGTGTTCTGCCATTAAGTAGGTATAGGCTTCCTCGTGGAAATCCCAGAAGAACAGCTCACCAGAGGGCAAGGACCCGGGTGCGGACCCACTTCTTTTCACTGCGGGTTTGTCGTCCCCGGAATTCCTTGTCGGTAGATGTAGCTATGGCACCATCTGTGGACGCCTTTAAGCGAAGGCTGGACAAACATGCAGCAACACAAGGACTGCATCTAAATGGTCTATCCCCTTAAAATCTCATACATCATTCAGGGGTAGACGACTAAGTTCGTCGTTTTACTTCTTTACATTCTCTCCCGTCTTACTCTTCTGACAATTATAACCAGACCTGTTATTATCATTATTACCGCTATATGTATATATATTATTCATATTATTCTTCAAATGTAATCAGCTGACTGTGTTTACGTTTTCTTACTTCTTTTCTGTCTGTTAGTCTGAATAACTTCACTAATTATATCCATTATTATTATCTCTTTTCTTTTAACAACGATACCGGAGGACTAATTGGTGAAAGGATCAACCTCATTCACAGTATTAACAGTCTTAACGCACGTCATACTACAAACCACATATAATTAATCCCAGCACTACTACCTTTGGAGTCAACCAAAGCTACGGCAGTCGAGTGGTGGGACGAGCTACGCAGAAGCTTACCGAAGATCAGGAACCTATACCTCACAATGAAGAGGCGGGCACAAAGAAATCAAATTGGTTTATACTAGCTCGTAAAAACGATATTGGATATTGAATGCTAAAAATACTCTGATTTGCGTGAAAAGTTATAATAATACTTCCTTATTTTAGTTATGTAAAGGTTGAAATACGTGAAATCTGGGAAATTCCGCCAAGTTACTTCAAAATGTACCCAGATGCATTTTTAGTAATATGACGACTAGTGGAAATTGCGGAAAATTCTTCCTTCTCCTCTGAGATATGAAAAGCTACAGCGAGCATCTTTGCACTTGGACTTATCATATCCCAGTATGACCCAGTTATTGCCTCCACTAGATCTCAATGCATTACTGAAATTCAGATTCTCTATGTGATTTCTCGCATCTGCTCTCATCGTCTCTCGGTATTTCTCTGTGACCCGTGCAAAGGAGACTGCTCGCAAATCTACTGCTGGAAAGGCCACAAGAAATTAGCCGGCCACCAAAGGTGTCCGCAAATGCACATCAGCTACTAGTGGAGTCAAGAAGTTACACATATACGGGCCAGGGACTGTTTCTCTCCGTGAGATCTGTCTTTACCAGAAAAGCACTGAAATGTTGATCCGTTAATCGCCTATCCAACATCCCGTCCGTGAAATCACCCAAGAATTCAAGACTGACTTGCGATTCCATTGACCAACAGTCTCTGCTCTGCAAGTAGTCAGTGAAGCCTACTCGGTCGCTCGTTTCGAAAGTATCAACTTGTGTACCATCCCTGCTAAACGTGTTACCATCAAGCCCAAAGCATTCAGTTGGCTACTCGGATTCCTTGTGAATATGTTTGCTTTCATTTACATTTTGGCTTCCGTCCCGTTATAGTTGACAATGGGCTACAAATCTATTATGGTTTTGATTGTTTTCTGGATTTATTTGCTTGTTTTCCGTAGTAAGTATTACTTAGTTCACTGTTTTTTATTCACCACATCTTTTTGTGAAATATAGAAACTGGCTTTAAACCTCTAATTTGAGGACGCAGATTCTTTAATAAACACCTAAGTAAGGTTGTAGTGACCGAATTTATTATTCATCATTGTAGTATGCTTTTACTATGTAATTTGAATTTGATTTGTCTATCATTCTAAAGATTGTCTGTTAACAATTAATGTATTGTACTCGCTTAGCTTTTGAATTTTGACCACTGCGATAATACACGTTATCACTCCTCAAATGCCCTTTGATTTACGTTGTGGATGTCGAGTTATCACAACGTTAAGATATAACAATAAGTGCTAAGAAGTACTAGGATTTACGTGTATGCTAGTTTGGTCAAATAGAGCAACACAACAGTTGGTGAGCTCGACATAGCTGATCGACGACATCATTGCAGTCGTATTAACCTTGATAACTACATCACATTTGGATATATATTTACTGA